GGAGTTTTCTCTAAAAACAGATTTTTTTTTTTTTATTTAACACACAATATTTTTAAAAAAATTATTCCCACAGGAGAGAATATTAGGCTTTAGTAAGTAATTGTCAGTTTGTTGTACTGTGGTAGCTTGCATGTTGCTGTGATGCTGGAAGCTATGCCACTGGTATTCCAGATACCAGCAGAGTCACCCATGGTGGACAGGTTTTAGCAGAGCTTCCAGACTAAGACAGAGTAGGAAGGAAAGACCTGGAGGTTTACTTCTGAAAAAACTGGCCAGTTAAAACCTTAATGGATAGCAGCAGAACATCGTCTGATACAGTGCTGGAAGATGAGCCCTGCAGGTTGGAAGGCGCTCAAAATACGACTCAGGTAGAGCTGCCTCCTCAAAGTAGAGTCGAACTTAATGACATGGATGGAGTAAAAGTTTTGGGACCTTCATTTGCTGATGTGGCATGACTCAAAATGAGAAGAAATAGTTGCAAACATCCATTAATAATCAGAATGTGGAATGTACGAAGTATGAATCTAGGAAAATTGGAGATTGTAAAAAAAAAAATGGCATGCGTAAAGATTGAAATGGACTGGTATTGGCCATTTTGAATCAGACAGTCATGTGGTCTAATATGCCGGGAGTGACAATGAAGAGGAATGGCATCGCGGACACCCAAGACTGTCAGTGATAGGATAATTTCCATAAGCCTATAAGGAAGACGAGTTATATGACTATTAATTCCAATTTACCCACCAATCACTAATTCCAAAGATGAAGAAATTGAAAATTTTTACCAACTTCTACAATCTGAAATTGATCCAGCATGCAGTCAAGATGCATTGATAATTACCGGTGATTGGAATGCGAAAGTTAGAAACGAAGAAGGATTGGTAGTTGGAAAATATGGCCTTGGTGATAGAAACAACACTGGAGATTGCATGATAGAATTTTGCAAGACCAATGACTTATTCGTTGTAAATATCTTTTTTTCAACAATATAAACGATGACTACACGGGGACCTTGCCGGATGGAATACACAGGAATCAGTTCAACTACATCTGTGGAAAGAGACAATGGAAAAGCTCAATATCATCAGTCAGAACAAAGCCAGGGGCCGACTGCAGAACAGACCATCAATTGCTTACATGCAAGTTCAAGTTGAAGCTGAAGAAAATTAAAACAACTCCATGATAGCTAAAGTACGACCTGGAGTATTTCCCACCTGAATTTAGAGACCGTCTTAAGAACAGATTTGATGGCATTGAATACTAATGACGAAGACTAGATGAGTTGTGGGATGACATCAAGGACATCATACATGAAGAAAGGAAAAGGTCATTAAAAGGACAGGAAAGAAAAAAAAGACCAAAATGGATGTCAGAAGAGACTCTGAAACTTGCTTTTCAACGTTGAGTAGCTAAAGCAAATGGAAGACTTGATGAAGTAAAAGACTTGAACAGAATATTTCAAAGGGCAGCTTGAGAAGACACAGTATTAATAATGAAATGTGCAAAGACCTAGAGTTAGAAAACAAAAAGGGAAGAACATGCTTGGCATTTCTCAAGCTAAAAGAACTGAAGAGAAAATTCAAGCCTCAAGTTGGCAGTAGCGAAGGATTCTATGGGCAAAATATTGAATGACGCAGGAAGCATCTAAAGAAGATGGAAGGAATACACAGAACCACTGTACCAAAAAGAATTGGTTGACATTCAGCCATTTCAGGTGTAAGCATTTGATCAAGAACCTATGGTACTGAAGAAGTCCAAGCTGCACTGAAGGCCTTGGCGAAAAACAAGGCTGCAGAAATTGACAGAGTACCAATTGAGATGTTTCAGCAAATGGATGCAGTGCTGGAAGTAATAACTTGTCTGTGCCAAAAAATTTAGAAAGCAGCTACCTGGTTAACCCACTAGAAAGGTGATCCAACAGAATGGGGAAATTATTGGACGATATCATTAATATTGTACACAAGTTAAAATTTTGCTGAAGGTAATTAAAAAAATGGTTGCAGCAGTACATTGACAGGGTATTGCCAGAAATTCAAGCCAGTTTCAAAAGAGGATGTGTGTCTTAAGCTGGGTTCTCTAGAGAAGCAAAATCAGTGAAGCGTGTGTGTGTGTATGTCTGTGTATGAACACACACATATATTTGTATCAAGGAATGGCTCGTGGTTGTAGAGGTGAGAAAGTTCCAATTCCGTGTGTCAGGCTGGAGGCTTCTTCTGACTCCTGTAGCTTTAGGGGCTGGTGAACCCAAGATCGGCAGGTAAGATAGCCGACCTCTGGCTCATAGGCTGCGGAGGCCGATGAATCCCAAGATCAGCAGGTAAGCTGCTAGCTCAAGTCCAAAGAATCAGAGGTCAGATCAAGAGCCAGCTGCAGGATCCAGAGTGATCCAAAAGCCAGTGAGCTTTGCCAGAGAGTTCACATATATTAGATGCAGGCCACACTACCAAGGAGACTACCTTTCAACTGATTGGCTGCTCATAACAGATCTCATTGTAGTGGTGATCAGATCTCATTATGGGGGTGATTACATAATTGCGTAGCTACCAAATTCCATCAAACTGCCAAAACACTGAGAATCATGGCTTAGTCAAGTTGACACACAACTTTAACCATTACAACATAAAATGAGGGATATCATTGCTGGTGTCAGATGGATCTTAGCTGAAAGCAGAGAATACCAGAAAAATGATTGCCTGTGTTTTATTGACTGTGTAGATCATAACAGATTATGGATAGTACTGTGAAGAACAGGATGGGAATTTCAGAACACTCAATTGTGCTCATGCTCATATGAAACTTGTACATAGACCAAGAGGCGGTTAATTGAACAGATCAAGGGACTACTGTATGGTTTAAAATCAGGAAAGGTTGTATCCTTTCACCATACTTACTCAGTGTGTATGCTGAGCAAATAATCCGAGAAGCTGGACTATGTGAAGAAGGATTCGAGGAAGACTCATTAACAACCTGTGACATGCAGATGACACAACTTTTCTTGCTGAAAGTGAAGAGGACTTGAAGCACTTACTGATGAAGACTGAAGACTACAGCCTTCAGTATGGATTACACCTCAACATAAAGAAAACAAAAATCCTCACAACTGAACCAATAAGCAACATCATAATAAATAGAGAAAACACTGATGTTATCAAGGGTTTCATTTTACTTGGATTCGCAGTCAATGCCCATGGAAGCAGCAGTGAAGAAATCAAATGACGTATTGCATTGGGCACATCTGCTTCAAAAGACCTCTTTTAAGTGTTGAAAAGCAAAGATGTTCCTTTGGGGACTAAGGTGCACCTGACCCAAGCCATGGTGTTTTCATTCGCCTCATACGTATGCGAAAGCTGGAGGATAAATAAGAAAGACTGAAGAATTGATGCCTTTGAATTCTGGTGTTGGTGAAGAATGTTGAATAAACTATCAACTGCCAGAAAAATGAACAAATCTGTAGAAATGCTCCTTAGAAGTGAGGATGGTGAGACTTCATCTCACGTACTTCGGATATGTTATCAGGAGGGACCAGTCCCTGGAGAAGGACATCATGCTTGGTAGAGGGTCAGTGAAAAAGAGGAAGATACTCAACGAGATGGATTGACATGGTGGCTGCAACAGTAGGCTCAAACATAGCAGCGATTGTGAGGATGGTGCAGGACCGGGCGTTTTTTTCTGTTGTACGTAGGGTCACTGTGAGTCAGAACCAACTGGTTGGCACCTAACAACAAGAAGTAAGTACAGTAAAACCTGTGAAAGCTGGAACCCAGAGAAGAAAAACTCAAGTATTTGCTGCTAAAACGAGTGATAGAAAAGTGGTAAAACTGCACCGTTGAAGGTGTAAAACTTGTGAGACCTAGAAAAACAAGACAGTCCTTTTGTTGGCTCTCACAGTTTTTACTGTAGTGTACAACTCAGTGAATAATTGAAACAAACTTGGCAAAGGCATTGTGAGATGAGCACTCTTGGGTGCTGTTGCTGGAAAGTGTATTAGTGTAAAACTCTGGAATGGAATTTGGTAATATATGTCATTGGCCTTAGAAGAAAAATTCTGTATACTGTTGTTGTAGTAATTATATTTCCAGAATCCTATCCTAAGGGAAAAAGTACAGCATGATGATTTACGTAAGATTAAAAGATTCATCATAGCTCTGTTTGTTACAAAATAAGAAGTGTCCTCTACTTTAATTTCTAACTTTTTTACAAAAAGATTTAATGGTATGGGAAAGCACTCAAATGTTGAGTGGAAAAGGGACACTATCTTAAACTGTATAATCACATTTTATTGTAAATTTGTACATATATGTGAACAGTTTTTTTTGCCCATAGAATAAAGCTTGGAAGGAAATAATTGAAAATGACACTGGTATTTTCTGTTGGTATGTTATTTACAGGTATTATAAATCTTAGTTTTGTCTTTACGTTTTTTTTAGGAGAATGTATATAATACAGATAACATCAGAGGGAAAAGGTTTTTTAAAAAAATAATAAAGTAGGCTTCTAAAGCTACGTACTTCAAATGCAGATGTTTTTACTGTGCATCTAACACTTGTATTCTGTGCTATAGATTCTTTTGCCTTGAGACCAGCTCAGTGCACCTGCACGATGTTGGTTTCCATCATAAGTAGATGTTCACCATTTACTTAATTAAAAGGTGTTACTCGGCTGTATGAGTTCATGTATAGTCTGTGTAACACCTTAATGGTGGTATATGTGGCTGTCTTTATGTAAGCATTTATTTATGCAACTCTGTTTATTACACAACTGTTCAGTAGATGCTAGAATGATGAGAGGGGGCCTCCTTCTCTAAAAGGGCCATTAATCTGCAGTGGGTAGGAAATTCAGGAACACATCGGTTTAAAATTTACATTGGTTCCATTTTGAAAGAATTAACTATCTGCTTTTTAAATTAAGGATAAAAACCAGTTGCCATTGAGTTGATTACCACTTATGGCAACCCCATGTGTGCAGAGTAGAGCTGCAATCCATAAGATTTTCAAGGTTGGAAGCATATTGCCAAGTCTTTTTTTTCTAAGGTGCTTCTGGGTTTGAACTGCCAAAGTTTCGATTAGTAGCTAAGTGCTTATCCATTTGTGCCACCCAGGGACTCAAGAATGAGGAGTCGTAAAAGTTCATTCACTTAGTTGTGAAAATATTATTGATAATTAGAGGGGAAAGCGAAAGGTATACTAAATATGAGGAATGAAAGAAACAAAAATTTAGCCATAGTCATACTGAAAGGGACATGACTTGTTTAGAAACCACAATCTTGAAGTTTTAAATAATTGTTTGGATAATAGCTTGAGAGTAGGAAATTGTGGACTACAGCTAATTTTTTTTCTTTCAAATTATGAAAGTAGAAAGTCATAAATCAGGAACTTCATAATCTGTAAAATGTATTTCATATTTGCAATCCAATTTTTATATCATGACAGGACTCATAATGGGAAGTGTAAACAGAGACAGTATACAGTGTGGTTAAGAACATTTACTTTAGAAGTTAGACCTGCATTCAAATCCTAGCTATGGAGTTTGCGCAGTATGCCTTTGGGCTAGTTATTGTCTTGAGTTTGTTTTCTCATCTGTTAAGTGGCAGTAGACTATTTCATTAGGCTGTTGTGGATTAAATGAAATTATTTTAAAGCACAGTAGCAGAGACACTGCCTGAACATCATGAGCTTTCTGCCCGAAACATCATGAGCTTTTAATTGTTACATCTTTTAAAATGACATACAAGAATTTCGCCTCATGTGTATTGGTATCTGAGTAGCTAGATTTTGTACATATGTTATAGACACTTATTTGGAATATTTAATTTTTTATTAAGACTTCATCGCCTGATTCTTCTAATGAGAATTCCCCAGCAACTCCCCCAGATGAACAAGGTCAAGGTGATGCCCCACCACAGCTTGAAGATGAGGAGCCTGCATTTCCACATACTGATCTGGCAAAGTTGGATGACATGATCAACAGGTGAGTTGTTTTTGTTTTGTTTTTCTTAATGTGTGTAATACACAGGAAAACTCACCAAGTTTCTGAGCATTGTAAATGGTTGTGAAAAGGGAAAGAATAGATAGGAATGTCACAATAACTCCCCTGCCTCATTAGTAGCCAAATACTTTGTAATCCTTGGTTGTTAATCCAGTCATTTCTGTGGATGTAAAAAATGAAAACGAATGATAATGTGAATAACTTTTTCAGATTAATGATGTTGACCATAGCTGGTGTATTTCTGAACTAGAACTGTACTTGTGACTGCCCTTTTGAGAGTTTATGAAGCTTTTCTTTCGTTGGTAAGGTTGATTACTAGGATTGCTGGATGACCTTTCAATAATTTTGGGATGGCGCTGAGGTAAACCAGGTCATAAGAAGATTGAGTTCCTTGGAGGCTGCCCCTTGTGAACCCTTGGCAAGCCCTGAGGCATTTAACCACCTCAGCTATTTGTTTCTCTTGGTCTTTATCTCAGGGGACAGTTCAGAGTATAATTTTTCATACTTACAGTTCAAATAACCCCCCACCCCACACACAATCATCTTTTTATTCTTCCTTTTAAACATATATTTAAATAAACACATAGATTATTTAGAGGAAGACTCTAAGAGAGTGAGGGTCTATACTTGTGTGCAGGGAAAGAAAAAGATTTAAAGAGGTTAAGGGAAGAGTGTGTCAGGGAACCCCACGTGGCTGTGATCCTCACTGTGCCTAATGGGGTTGTAGGCTCAGCAAGTGAATGTAGGGAGGTGTGACACATTCTCCCTCACCCCAAAAAGGAAACAAATGAAAACACACTCTTAAAGGCACTTGCCTTACTCAATGTTTTGTTGTATTTCACTTTCTAAAAATAGGCTAACACTATTAAATGTGTAATGGCAGAGGAAATGGAAACTTCTTGCATTTTTTTAAAAAAAGTCTGATTATGTTGGTAAAAAGGGTACATTGTTAAACATAGAAATACATTATATAGATAAAGTCTCTCTAAAACATCCCTTAACACACGTGCATCCCAACCAAATTATTATTAACAATTAGGGACACATGCTTTCAGATTATAGTCATTAGTTTTAATGGTGTATGGACACATTTAAGAAGAATACATTGTGTGATTCTGGCAGTTGCCTGTAATAGTGTACAACAAATTATAAAGAGACAAAATTTCTATAAAGTTGTGGCTCCTGACCATTCCCTGTAGTAGAAACATCATTGCAAAAGGTTATATTTTTGCTTTTCTATTTTGTGTGGTGGTTGACAATTGTTAGTGCTCTAAGTACTAAGCTGCATATTAGCCAGTCCTCAGGGGAGGAGGAAAATGATGGTTTTTGTGTAAATGAAAACAACGACAAAGGTAGTACACATTTGTCTCTTAATAGATTATTTGGTAATGGAGTGCCTTTTAACAAAATATGGGTGTTTGGGGAATTTCGCCAGCTCTTAGTACAGGGATTAAGGGATGAATAAAACAAACAAAAAACTCGTTGCCATTGAGTCGATTCCAACTCATAGCGATCCTATAGGACAGAGTAGAACTGCCCTATGGGGTTTTGCAAGGAGTGGCTGGTGGATTTGAAGTGCCGACATTTTGGTTAGCAGCTGAGCCCTTAACCACTGTGCCACCAGGGCTCCAAGGGATGAATGGAGGAAGGCTTTTTCTTCTGGGGAGTAGTGGGTGAGTGAGTGGTGGCAAGGAGGAAGGGTTAGAAAAAGAATGTGCTCCTAGATAGCTGGACTGTCATTGGGACCAGAAAAAGCACCACTGGGTATAAGCTGCATACTTGTTGAGGGAGGGGAGGATGGTGTCCGTGAGGTTTAGAGACTTTGGAGACACATGGCTCACTTGACCTTCAGGGAAAGATGATAAATACTTTGCTGAGATGAATTGAGACAGAAATCAGTTATTTGCCTCCAAAATAATGTTCTTCTTTGTGAGGAAGTTCAAGACAACTGAGGTTTATTACAATATTTTTTCTCACCTGAATCCCCAAAGACTGCTTTCCTATGAACTTAAACAATAGGTATCCATTTAATTGATATTCGATTTTTGTAGTAGCTTTATATTCTATCAAAGTTATTAAAATAATTTAGGGTTTTTACCCTCTCATTACGTATCTTTTGTTCGATGGTACATTTTAAAAATTTTGTTAGTAGAGATAGCAGATGTTGCTTAGTCCCACAGAATGGATATTTTGTCAGCCTTCCTGTTGTAATATTTTTTATAGTGAGGTAAGTAATTATAATTGGTAACCCATAGTGCCTTTTTTAGTGTACAACCAATAAGCATCTTTTTATTTTATTAAAAATTCTTAGGCCTCGATGGGTGGTTCCAGTTTTGCCGAAAGGGGAATTAGAAGTACTTTTAGAAGCTGCTATTGATCTTAGTAAAAAAGGTAAGTTTGGATGTTGTTATGCTTTCTATAATGCATACTACTAGACATACTTTAACTTTATCCCTGAAAACATTATTTTTCTCTGTTATAAACACTTACTAAGTATTCCTAGACTAGAATATCGAACCAACCTTTCTTGGGTAAGGCTTATGATATATACCTAGAGCCAAGGGTTCATAACCTTGGAACAACCTTCAAGAATATTTGTGGGTTTTCTGAAGTTACAAATAATAAAAATTTGTGAATATTCATATTACTAAAGAATAGATTCATTGTTTAATCAGATCTTCAAAGGGGTTGTCACTCAAACATTAAACATTTTTAACCCAGTGTTATCTGGTATGTGAGATAATAGACAAAGATTGCTTTTTAATTGGAAAGTACCGATAGATTTCCACTTAAGATATAGCTTTTTTTTTTAATGTAAGCCATTTCTAATTTCCAGATACGTACTAAAAAAAAAACAAAAACCAAAATCCATTGCTGTCGATTTGATTCTAACTCATAGCGATCCTATAGGACAGAGTAGAACTGCCCATAGGGTTTCCAAGGAGCGGCTGGTGGATTCAAACGGCCAACCTTTTGGTTAGCAGCTGTATCTCTTAACCACTATGCCACCAGGGTTTCCATATGTATTATGTTAACCTACAAATTGTTTATACTTGCCCTTTGACTTCTTTACTTAAATGACAGTGAATCCAAGGGCATGTGGATCTTTGTATGTAATAGAATCTTCATCTACGATCCTTTGGATGAAAATTTGCCATTTCACTAATACTGTTTTTTAAAATAAGCTGTCTTAATTGCCTGTTTTTTATTTTGAATACACAGAAAAGGTTTGATTTTTCCGTAAAAGGGAAATAGGACTTGAAAAATGAGGTCCTATGTTGAGGGGGGAAGCACCAATAAAAGGAAATCTGGTATTTTTACTCAGTTAGCCAGAAGTAAAAGCTTAATGTTTGGAATTAATCATTTTTTTTTTCAGTGACTTTGGCCTAACTTTAGGTGCAGTAAATTCTCTCTGCTCATTTTTTTCTCTCTTCATTTTTAAGGCATTGAAGGTTAAAATAAATGGCAGTAACATTTCATTTTCTAAAATACGGTAACCATGGATGTGTTTTAACTATCAGTAGGAACTATCAAAATAGAAATAGATTATTGTCAAAATTAACATCTTTAGTACCTTGCTTAAGTCCGTCTCACTTCATGACAAGGGTAAAAATTTCATTTATCTTATAATAATTATCCCACCTTCGTTTAAAGAATATCTTTTACACCTTATTAATCTTGTAAAAATGATCTAGTAAACTACGAAAATACGTTATCAGATTACAATTGTTTTCTACTACTCAAATTGCTTTTTGGCTATTTACACATTTATTCATCAATTCAGCAACTATTTGAAGACTTCTGTGTTAGGCATGTTCTACGTCCTGCCAGTACAATGATAAATAAAAACAGCTAAAGGTATTTTATTTAATAGCGTTGACATTCAGTAGACATGTATCATATGCAGGGGATTTCATCCTATAATTTTTTCCTGGGATCATGATTTATTTTAGGCAAGGTTCAGATTTTTTAAAGTACAATACCGGGTTTAAATGTCATCTATTTTTTTTAAAAAATCAAAATCAAATAATACTTTAGTATACAAATTAGTTTATCATTTTGTCATTAAGAGTTAAAGGTTTTCTTTCTGTTTGGAGGCCTTTCTGAAATCAGATGAAATTAAATAGTTGAGAAATGTTGCTTTTTTAATTTTTAAAATTTAAGGAGTACCATGCTATGAAGTATTTATATTCCCTATCACTTGGTACTGGTACCTATTCTGTGTTAAAGAGCCAATATCATAATTCAAAACATTTTCATTTAATCTTAATAGTACTTTGTTTAATGTAGTTTTAACAAAAGTATTTAAAAAAATTATTAAAGATTATCTTTATTTTCTGTTTCTGAATCAAGCTACCTTTTTGACAGTAGAAACTTTGAAATATTAATCCTTGTAGTATTATTGACCTCTTAGGATAATACTGTGAGTCTTTTTTCCAAAGCTTCTCTGCATTTGTTAGCTGTCAGTGAACAGTTGCCAACTTTGTCATGTAATTGGACGTTGTAAAACAGCCAGAGAAATGTTTTGTTTACATTAAGTTTTCTTCCTTTTTCTTAGGCCTTGATGTTAAAAGTGAAGCCTGTCAACGATTTTTTCGAGATGGGCTAACAATATCATTCACTAAAATCCTTACAGATGAGGCAGTGAGTGGCTGGAAGTTTGAAATACATGTGAGTCTTGCATTTGACTCTAGAAAATCAGATTTACGTGGTGATGCCTGTGGGTAATACACACATACATACACACACACACAATGTATAGTTTGATTATATGTTTGGCCCAATAATTGCATCAAAGGCTCTAAAAATAAAAAACTAAATTTTTTTTTTTTTTTTTTTTTAAATAAGGTATAGTCTCAGATTGAAGGTAGCATGGTCATTTGGAATGAGCATGAGATTTAGAGTTAGAAAGTGTTGGTTTAATCCGTCTGCTGGGTTCCCGAGTACCTTATGGCCTTAGGCAAGTCACCATATTTCATCAACTATATCATGATAACAGTTTTAAGATTCACTACTATTTTATGTACCACTAAGGAATACACAAGATGAGGAATGTAGTACACAATATACATTTGGGATACTAAAGGGTCAATGTAAAGGTAAATGAGAACTAAACTCATCATGCAAAAAGGGACAGCAAGGAAACATGTATGTCTCAACCTTGGCATCTGATGGAGGGGAAAAAAAAAATTCTGAAAGTTTAAACCACAAACCAGTATTTGAGCAGTTCTGTAGTCTGAATTCAAATTACAGTTGTGATATAAAAAGCCTCAAGTAGAGAATTTAAAGTGTTCTCAGACTGATAATGTCCCCAAGCGATAGACAGAAGCAAGTACAGATCGTTTCTGGAAACACCAGTCTAGGAAAATAGTGCACAATGTCATTGCTTAGATTCCAGAGATCTTAAAAAGTGCATCTTCAATTGATGAAATACAATTATTCCAAGTGTGTTCCTCGTTTGATATGAAAATGATCATAAGTTGTAAAGCAGATATATTTTTGTGCTCTGAACTATTTCCCAAAAATGACCATGGCATAAAAATCCCAGTATCTTCTTATTCAACACATAACTTAATAGGTTATGGAGACTTTGAAAGTGGTGTCAGACTTTTGCATTGAGGTTTAGATAGCAAATCAGTTTTAGATAATTGGCATGGTTTAGATTTTTACAATTAACTGCCTCTAGTGTACAAATTCCAAAGTGAGAAAATGGTAATTTATATCTTGTCTATAGACATGGAGCAGCAAGAGACAACCTATGGTGCCTACTTCATTTTGTAAACGATTGCAAATGGCTTTTGAAAGAAGGTAGTATATAAATTACGAAGTAAATAAATGTTAATTTATCTTTCTTGATAACAGCTTGATGCCAGTATTAGTGCAATTAGACATAATTGAGATGACTAGTATAGAAAAATGGAAATAGATCATTATTAATAAGATTGGAAGATATTTCTGTTTGCTATTCCAGTGTTTTCATTTTATAAATCACTTTCCCCCCCTTATAACACAGAGATGTATTATTAACAATACTCATCGCCTGGTGGAGCTATGTGTGGCCAAGTTGTCCCAAGACTGGTTTCCACTTCTAGAACTTCTCGCCATGGCCTTAAATCCTCATTGCAAATTCCATATCTACAATGGTACACGCCCGTGTGAATCCGTTTCCTCGAGTGTTCAGTTGCCTGAAGATGAACTCTTCGCTCGTTCTCCAGACCCTCGATCACCAAAAGTGTGTTGGTTTGTTATTTTCAAAATTAAATATTAACAGTTGTTTTGTTCTGCCACAGAACTTTAAATGATTTGAACATTCCATTAGCATGGTGTGAAGACTCATTACATACTACTCTTAAAGGAATTTTGGCATTATTTTGCTTTTGGATTCTTTATTTTGTGCCAGAGCTGTGTTCTGTCTTCTGTTTCTACTGCTGTTAAGTTTTTCTGTGTTTAAAAATTTAAAGTTTGACAGTCACATTGGGTTTGAAATTTTAAATGAAAATACACAAAACTGGGGGCTTTTTCCGTGGCCCTGGCATGTTCAGTGCTTGTGATTAGGTTTCTTAGCTTTCTTATGTATAGCTAGTCACCATAGTCTTCTGGCCAGCCTTTTTGGAAATAGTCATAATTTGGGTTAGTATGAAAAGACTGTATTTTTCCTTTGAAATTAGAAGATTATGTCTTTGACTAAGAACTCAGGTGTTGAGATTTAAGGCCATGATCATTTCAGACATTCTAAGATTTTTGACTCCAAAATCAAGTATGTGATGTAAGTGCCTAATAATATGCCATAAAAGTAAAGTTACAGAAATTACAAATTAAAGCAAAATAGTAAAACTTTGAAATTTCATCGAACGTAGATGTTCTATACATTAATGTGGGGACAGTGGTGATTCAGTGTTAGAATTCTCTACCATGCAGGAGACTTGGGTTCCATTCCCAGCTAGTGCAACTCATGCTTACCCACTGGTTTCAGCAGAGCTACGTGACTAAGACAGACATGGACGAAAGGCCTGGTGATCTATTTCAGAAAATCAGCCAGTGAAAACCCTATGGATCACAAAGGTCCAATCTGTAACCCATTGTGGGGACTGGGCAGCATTTTATTCTGGTGTGCATGGTATTTCCAGTGAGTCAGGGGCCAGCCAACTTGACAGCAGCTAACAATAGCAACAATACATAAACGGGAAAGTTCTCTAATGTAAATTTTCTGTATCAGTGTAAACAAAGTATACCTTTTTAAAAGTGTATTCCCAATCCTAATCTATACTACTTTAAATAAATATTAAATAATTAACAATATAGTTTTAAAATTTTAGAATTTAGGGAGACGTTTTTACTGTTCTGAGTCTTACTTTAAAAAGGAGAAAGCCAGCCAAGAAAAGAAAACTTGAAGTCATATAATGCTTGGTTTATCCCGTTAAAAGCTGAAATCATCAAAATGTGTTGAACTTAGTGCTGAAATTTTCTGATATTTCCGAGTTCATTTTGTTTGCCACTGGATGGCTTGGTTTTGCTTGAGTAAACCAAATTAATATCTAAATGGAATTTTCAACGTGTCCACATCATATTTCTTTATTTTACTTCATTTTTCATTGTATGGATCAATGATAATTTTCATCTTACAGAGACTCATGAAATGACTTATAAGACGGGTAAATACACAGTTTGGGGATGACTTCTGGTTGAGGATATTTTTACGTATTTTTCTTTGAAGTCTAGTTCTTCTTGGTATTGAACTTATAAAATACGGCGTCTATGAGAGAGTACTTAGCCTTTTAAAGCCTTTGTCAAGAGTACAATTTTTTATATAGCCCGAATTATGGTTGTGAATCAAAGAGAAGTCTGTTCAGTGGCTCATTTACTTCTTACCGAAATCAGAGAAATTTTATCTTTTATGATATTGCTAATGGGTCTTTTATAAGATTTATAAAAATAGATTAAAAGATGATATATTTGGCAGAATTTTCAACCATGCCACTAGTTGGATGCAGGCACCATGATATAATGAAGAAGCTAAGAAATGTAAATGCCAATATATTTTCTCTCCTATTCAAAGTGGTGGCGAAATTCAGATCATCACAAAGTTAGATAATGGAGGTAAAGTTTCTAAAAAGTCTGCTTTACTAGGAATATTTTCAGCCTAAGTACCTGATCACCCTCTAGAGTTCTGCCCTTCTGCTTTTACTTCCTTCTTCAATACTCACCCCACCCCCCGACAAGAAACACTGAACCTCTGTGGCCTCAACTTTTCTTTTAGCCCGTGACCAACTAAAGCTGTGAGGACTCTTAATGAAAGTACTATTTATCTGACTTTCGTAAATGGTATCCCCCCCCCACCCGTGTTTTAAGATGTTTAAATGAAGATTATTTATTCAAACCTTAAAAATGTAGTTAAAACCTCATTGGTTGAGACATCAAGTCTCAGGTGAAGTTTACCTTAGCTATCTTTGAAAAAAAACTACTTACAGCAAGTAGTACAGGTAAAACTATATTTAAAGAATATAGCAAATTCCAGGATATATGATAATTTTGAATTTTTCTGTTGGGCAACTGCCTTGCATTTTCCATTTTAACAAAGAGCCAGATAAAGGAAGCTCTTGTGCTATCCCAGCTGCGTTTTACTTTGAGTTGCTGCTGTCCCTTAGGGAAAAAGGTTGAAAGATACCTCATTATATTGTATGGTGGTACTCGGAGTGAGGGCATTAACCATTATGTTCTGGTTAGGGAACAACAGCTGTTAACACTAGGGATTAGTTTTCAATGACAGTTTATTCTCAGGCTTTGAAATTATTCCATTTTCAGGGAAATCGAAGTTATTTACAACTACAACCAAAATTCATTATCTTAAGTTACCAAGTATCTTTTTTTGAAGAGTCTTTTTATACCCCCTTAAAAATTTGTTTAACACATTTTCAGATAATTAGAAGGTATTCTCATATGGTAGTATTCCTGAAATAAAAGCATAGCTTCTAATTCCTGTTCACCAGCTATACTGGTACAGACAAAAAGAGCTGTGCCCCATGATCTACGTAAGTATGTGCTGCTTATGCTGCTTCTGTCTCACAGATGGGGTTACTGCAAACAAAATAAAGTGTTTTATGGTCTTTTCAAAGATGATTTGACATAATACGTTTTATCGAATTTCCTGTTTCTGATATATTTCAATCAAGAAATTGCCTCAGATAGTACCCTTTTTTCCCTTTTAAAAGCAGGAAGTTAACTTTTAACATTAACTGTATTGCAGGGTTGGCTAGTGGATCTTCTCAACAAATTTGGCACTTTAAATGGGTTCCAGATTTTACATGATCGTTTCATTAATGGATCGGCATTAAACGTTCAAATAATTGCAGCCCTTATTAAGTAAGTTACATTTTTTTTAAATGTTCAGTGCACTACAGAAATTCCTATTTTATTGTTTGATAAAAATTGAGCTTCTATTTTCAAGTGTGGTTTCTTCTAGTGTTTCCTTTTAAGTGATAGAAAATAGTCTGAAAGTTTAAGTCCTAGTTGATTTTAAGAAATGGAGAATTATAGATGCTTTCTGTCTTATTTCAGACCATTTGGACAATGCTATGAGTTTCTTACTCTTCATACAGTGAAAAAGTACTTCCTTCCAGTCATAGAAATGGTTCCACAGTTTTTAGAAAACTTAACTGATGAAGAGCTGAAGAAAGAAGCTAAGAATGAAGCCAAAAATGATGCCCTTTCAATGATTATTAAGTCTTTGAAGAATTTAGCTTCAAGGGTTCCAGGACAGGAAGAAACTGTAAAAAATTTAGAAATATTTAGGTTAAAAATGATACTTAGGTAAGATACTTACCTCTTGAAACAATTATTGGTGTGAATTTTTGGAATCATATCTAACACCAGATTTCTCTTAATAGATTATTGCAAATTTCTTCTTTCAATGGCAAGATGAATGCACTGAATGAAGTCAATAAGGTTATATCTAGTGTCTCATATTATACCCATCGGCATGGTAACCCTGAGGAGGAAGAGTGGCTTACAGCTGAGCGAATGGCAGTAAGTCCTTGATTCTTCTTTTATGAGTAAGAGTTTACTTATGACAAAAATCACAATAGCTCTAGTTAAAATTAGTAATACTAAAATTAAGTAACTTTTAGGAAGTATTCTGATTGATTTATGACTGTTTAATCCTGAGAACTTTTTGTAGTAATAACATAGTATAGTAATTATTTGGTAGTGATATGGATAACTTAGCACATCTTTGGTAAACTTATTGTTGAATGTAGGTGTTCTGAAGTAATTATTAGCTTGTCAGGAGGTGGAATTGGTTGAAATAGAATAGATAGAAGGGATCTTGGGAATGGATGTGGTAGTATTTGGTGTCGAATGATGTGGTCTATTGTTCATTTAACCAATTTCAGTTAAAGATTTTCAAATAATATAATTAAGGGGATAAGATCTATATGAATTAATACTATTTTCATGATTTTTAAGAACTTTATTTTTAAAGCACTTACATTTATTGCAAGTTTAGAGAACTATTTACCATAGATATTTGTATATGTTGTAGTTTTAAAATGAAAAAAGTGTGCCACTTAAGTTACTCAGCCAGTATTTTGTGAGTGTGTACTGTGTGACAGTACTGGGGAGACATTTGTAGAAGAACTGTCTCTGTCCTAAAGGAGCCTTAGTTTAATAGGGAAAATAATTACAACGTGTGAAAGGTATATGTGGGGCTATAGCCAGAAGGTGGAAATGACCCAAGTGTCCATCAACAGATCAATAGATAAAATGTGATATATACATACAATGGAATATTATTCAGCCATAGAAAAAATGAAAGTCTGATACATGCTACAACATGGATGAACTTTAAAAAAGTATGCTAAGGGAAATAAATCACACCTAAAAGGACAAATATTGTATGACCCCACTTACATGAAATATTTAGAACAGGCAAATGCATAGGACCAAAATTTATTAGTGGTTAACAGGGACTGAGGGAAAGGGGGAATGGGGACTTAATGCTTAAGGGATACCGAGTATACGTTTGAAGTGACGAACTTTTGGAAATAGTGGTGATGGCTGTATATACGATATGGTGAGTGTAATTAGCGTCACTTAATTGTACTCTTTAAAGTGGTTAAAATGGCAAATTTCTTGTCATACATAGTTTACCGCGATAAAATTAAAACAGTACGTGGAGGATGCTTGGACACTGGTCCAGTGTTTGGGGTCAGTTGGTAGACATCTGTTTTTGTATATGTGATTTGTCTGTGTTTTGAAAAGTCTAGCACAGAGCTGCTCGAAGTATGGTCTGAGGATTGATGTGGTCTTTGATCTGTTACCAGTCTAGATAAGCACAGAAGATGACATTAAATGTTTAGAAACTTTTGCAGCAACTTGGCATTTTGCACAACATTTTTATTGTATCTTATAAAAATATGTCTGCAACGGATTAGAAATAAAACTGGTTCTTTACCAGTTGAGAAGTGTGCTTATATAGTTCATTTGGGGACCAACTACTTTTTATTCTCAGTAAGTGAAATACTGTAAAATCATACAGTGTGGATTATTATTTTTTTGTATCATGAGTTAGTACTTTCTTCTATTGGTGGTAGATACTAAATACCAACCAAGCAGCATAGCTTAGTGTTAGAAAAATACAGATTTTGAAAGCATGCGGACTTGCTTCAGATACCAGTTAACAACACTTTAAAGCCTTCCTACTTCCCTATAATAGGTTAATAGCATCCCTCACTAGGATTGTTTTAAAGCTTAGGTAGCTAATGGATAATCAGTTAATGAATAAAAGTAAAAAATATAATAGGTGCCTTTTCACCCAAGATGAAAACATAATTCTGTAGCAAAACTGGCATGAATACAAGGATCCTAAAATTGAACCTGTACCCACACTACCTAAACAGTGCTGGTTGCTGCACTTAAATATTTTTCTGATTAAATGCTGGGGTAGAATCTTTCCAGTGATTTCAGTTTTTCTAATTCATGAAAGCATTTCTGTATGTGAAAATTAAGCTCTATGAAATTGTTGTAATGTCTTCAAAGTTTTAACATTAACTCAACAGGTAGAAGCCTGTTCCATTAGTGTATTATAGCTTGTGAATGTATTTTTTGGATTCGGATAAATGTTTAAACATATGGACGATACTTTATATATATAATTTTTTAAAAACTATTTAGTTTCTGTTTTGAAACAATTTTTTGAATTGTATTTAGGAATGGATACAGCAGAATAATATCTTATCCATAGTCTTGCGAGATAGTCTTCATCAACCACAGTATGTAGAAAAGCTAGAGAAGATTCTTCGTTTTGTCATCAAAGAAAAAGCTCTGACTTTACAAGATCTTGATAATATCTGGGCAGCACAGGTAAGGAATTTAAAATGATGACTATTTTTAAAAGAAAGATAGTTTTTAACTAAAGAAATAAAGACATTTGTGAAATGGATGCAGGCTTATATTGTTTGAGTTTAAGTAAGTTTAAATGCTTGTTGTCTATTGAAAGAGTGTAAGGCATCTCTGTAATTTTGTTTCCTCATAAATCTAATGGAATGGGGGAAAAAAAAACCCTGCAATGTCAGACAAGTCAAATCACCAAACTACTTATAAAGACCCGTAATAATTATTCTAAAAATTTTTAACTTTTCAGAATGATAAGTTTCAGAGCTGGAAACTATGTAACTCCTTTGATTATCTTAATGATAGATTCCTACTCCTGGATAACTTGGGATTGTTGAGTTCTAGATTACAAAGCTTTGTTTTCTGTTTTTTTGGGGGGGGGGTCTATAAACCAAGAAAATATTCACCTTTGAGTGCTTAAAGGTTCCATCTTTGAAACAATACCATTAAAAAACCAACCCCATTGCCGTCGAGTTGATTCTGACTCATAGCAACCCTATAAGACACAGTAGAACTGCCCCATATTGTTTCCAAGGAGCAGCTGGTGGATTCGAACTGCCAACCTTTTGGTTAGCAGCTGAGCTCTTAACCACTGCGTGACCAGGGCTCCACAATACCATTAGTGTGCCTTGTTTTTTTCCTACTTGCAGTATTCAAATTGACATGTTAAATTGAATAAAAATGTACTAAAGGTACACATGAATTCCCAAAGTACACATTAACAATTTCTGTCAGGAAATCAAGTTACTAAGTTTTAGATGTCAGTTCTAAAGCATTTAAAATGTTAGTTATTTTCTTATGTTACACAGTTAGATGAAAGAGATGGAACTATTTTATTAATTGATACTTGTTATCAGGCAGTCTGTACTACTTATGTGTTATTCAAATTCTAGTATGCCCTGGTGTTCTTTGTTTTTGTTTTCTCAACAGGCGGGGAAACACGAAGCCATTGTGAAGAATGTACATGATCTGCTGGCAAAGTTGGCATGGGATTTTTCTCCAGAACAACTTGATCATCTTTTTGATTGCTTTAAGGTAATAGTTAACATAGTAAAAGTATTACCATTTCATTTTAAATAGAATTAATTAATTTAGATCCCTGAGTTGCTCTTAATCAATAAATGCTTTAATAGAAATAAACTATCTCTGGTGTGAAGGAATTGCCATTGTTTTCTTTTCCAGTGAGACCTTGGTATTTGTTTTTATAATAATAACCCTGATAAATAACGAATCTCTCTTTCCAGTTATCATTTTGGATTTATTTCCTTTGGCAGTTTTTATTTTTGTTAATATGTTCAAGTAAACCATGAGACTGAAGGGAAGGGTGATGGGTCGCAGTGAAAAATGAGGGGTATTCTGATATTCTGGAGTCTAATGCACAGGCGAATCAAACCATGCCTTAATGGAAATGTAATTCATAAAGTAGCCTAAGAACTCCTACAGTTATATCTCCATTGGTGTCACTGTACACTTTTTAAGGCCATGTTGTATAGTTGTCTCTGTCCATTTGTTAGGGATGGTTTTGTAAAAGCCCAAGTAGTTGGTGAATTTGCAGATCAAGAACATAAGACCTTATGACAGTGTTAAAACATGTTCTGTTAATATCTGGCATTAGATCACCAAGGTTTCTCATTCAAAATAACAATTATACTGACTGCTGATGGGAATATATGTTGTGGCAACCACTTTGGAAAATAGTCGCCTTTTTGGTAAAGTGTAAAATTCTTATGTCTTTTGGCCTATTAGTTTGACTTCTGAATATATACCATAGAGAAATTCATATGCACAAGGATATAAAGGTCAACAACATTTGTAGCACAATTATTCTTTAATAGCAAAAACTGTTATGGAGGTTGGATAAACAGTAGCATGCATAGATAGATTGTGGTATGTTCGTGAAATAGAATACTTCATGGCAATGAGAATGAACAGATTAGATCAACTCAACCATATGGATGAGTCTTATAAACAGAAAGTTGAAGACAGGAATGGTCACACAAGAACTTGTGCAGCTTGTTGCCATTAACAGAAACTTAAAAAAAAAAAAAAAAAAAGCCCCACCTTGCCTCTTGAAATACTGCTTACCATGTGTTCTTATTGACGTGGGTAATAGTTACATAAGGTCCGGGAGTGATGCAAGTGATTTGCAGTCAGCTGCTCTCTAAAGCATGGCAGTTCAGATCCACTCAGCGGTGCTGCAGAAGAAAGGCCTGGCAATCAGCTGTAACGATTACAGCCAAGAAAACCCTATGGAACGGTTGTACTGTGTAATACATTAGGTCACTATGAGTCAGAATCAACTTTATGGGTTTTTTTTTTTAAATAGTTACACAGGTGTTTGCATTATGTACTGTAATAATAGTATATGTTTACACATTTCTAGATGTGTATTTCATAATAGAAGAAAAAAGTAATACCAATTATTGTCTTCCACCCTACACCTATTAAATTAGAATTGCTAGGTATGGGGCCTGGGAGTCTGTATTTTAAGCAAGATTCTCAGATGAATCTTAACCACATTAAAGTTTTAAATCACTGCCTGATGATAAAATTCAGTTTGAAGATAACAAGTAATTGAGTGAATCCTTGAAAACTGTTACACATTTTTTCATCCATTGAAGTTCATCAAAGGCCAAAACAAACCAGTTGCCAGCGAGTTGATTCCAACTCGTGTGTCAGAGTAGAACTGTGCTCCGTAGGGTTTTCAATGGCTGATTTTTCAGAAGTAGATAACCAAACCTTTCTTGGGAGGTGCCTCTGGGTGAAAGCGAACTACTAACCATTCAGTTAGGAGAGGAGTGCGTTAACCATTTCCACCACCCAGGGATTCCAGACATCAAAAGCAGCCAAGGAAAGAGTAGAATTAGTTATCATGGGTACTGTAAAGTTAATTGCCCTTCATTTTTTATCTTGCAGTGACTTCTGAAATAGTGATACATGACCAATGGTGGCAGTGCTGGGAAAAGGAAAGAAAGGGGTCAATTATTGTTGTATTCTCCAGACCTTTCTTCTTCTCAGAGTGGTCTAAATGACGTATTTTTATGCAAATAATGTGCCTTCTGTGTTTGCCAACCTTGTCCTCCCTCCTCCACTGTGAGGTACTTATGCTAATTTTTTTTTTTTTTTAAAGTGACACGTAAAAATAATTGGCATAGCGGCACTTATGAAAATATCCCATGGCGGGAGGACACGGCAAACACAGAACGTGTGCGTTATTTGTGCAAAAACGCTTTAATAATAATAACAATAATTTCACTATCTTTACTTTTTTTCCCCTTTGGCTTAACATACGTTTATTGAGCACCTATTATTTGGTAACAAGCACTGTCTTTTGAGGTGTTGCTAAACTGAGCAATTCTTAGGGAGTGTGTCTTGAAAGGCCCTGTTAAAGATGCGTTAAAGGAAACCTGAAGTCTAGGTCACTTTGTAGTCTTTGTTTTCCAGAGTGGTTATACCAAAAATTATGGTCCCATCATGAGTTTCACGTCATTGCCAGCACTTGTTTTGTCAGAATTCTGAATTTTTGGCAATGTGTGTGGTGTGAAATGCTATCTCATATAGTACTGGTTTTTATATTCTTGGACTTTAATGAGGTTCATATGTTTTTGAGCTATTCCCATTTTCTTTTTTGTGAAATACCTGTTCAAATCTTTCGCATAATTTTTTCTATTGGGTGGTTTGTGTTTTTCTTACTGACTGTAGGAGTTCTTAACATATTCTGAGTGCTAGTCCTTGTCTGTTCAAATGTTGCAAATAATTTCTCCCAGTTTGCAGTTGTCTTTCTCACTTGCCTTACTTTGGGTGAACAGATGTTCCTAATTTTGCCTTTCCACATGTGGTAATTTTAGTATATATCGCTAATAGATGAGTACATGAAGAAAAATTCACAATATCATTATCATACCTAAAAAATTAATAATTCCTTAGTATTGTCAAATAGCAGTGTTAAAATGTCGGCACTCAAAGCCTAAAACTATGTAACTTAATTCATAGCCATGAAAAATAAAACAGTTATGCATATGAAAAATTAAATAAATGTACATTTAAACTAAATGGATTTACCACTACAAAATTTGCAAATAGTTAAAGTTTATAATATGCAACTGTTTTTTAGGTTGTAAACTTTATAGAGAGCCATGAGGCAATATATATGTGAGCCTGAAAAATGTCCACATATTTTAAACCATTAATCCCACGTCCAATATTCTGTCCTGTAGAAGTAAATGGATATGTGAATAAAGATTTCTTTCTTTTATGGGGGGAAAAAAAGCAGTGTTAAAACTTCAAATTATCTCAGGTTATATTTTATTTTAGAAGTTTGTTTGACCCAGGATCCAAATATGGTCCATACTTTGTAATTGATTGATACATGTTTTAAGTCTTTTTGAATCTATAGCTTTCCCCCTTTATCTTTTTTCTTCCTTTACAATTTACTTTTTGAAGGAAACAGATTGTTTGTTGCCTTGATGTATATCAATAGTTTGATATAAAGGCTTGGTGTCCTCCCCCACTTTTGTTGGAATACTTCATAGGTGGTGATGTACTCCTGCCTCAGGAGGCACATAAAGCCTGGTTGTCTCTTTATAAAACGTTAGCCAGATGTTCATAATTGTAATATAGTTTAATATTACAGTCTTTTCTTATAACCTTAGCAGTTTTAATCTTTCTTTCATTATTTTGAGGGGACTAAGAGGAATTAGGAAGAGCCCTGGAGGTACAGTGGTTAAGTGCTTGGCTCTTAACAGAAAGGTTGGCGATTCGAACCTACCCAGAGGCTCTGTGGGAGAAAGACGTGGCAATCTGCTCCTGTAAAGATTACCACCTAGAAAACCATATGGGGCAATTTACTCTTTCACATAGAGGAATTAGAAGCACTCAGGCTGTCTTCCAAAATGTTCCATATTTATCGGTGTAAATGCCTGTGTAATAACTCCATTGAAAGGATCTCCTGTAATTTACTTCATCGTTCTTCTACTGTTGGACATTAGGTTGAGTTCAGTTAATTTTCCAGTAAACATTGATTAGCAACTATATACACAGCTTTTCCTGTACTGTTTAGCAGCATTCCTGGCCTCACCCACTAGATGCCTTGAATACTCCTTCATGACACTTCCCTCCTGTTGTGACACCCGTGTTACATTAACTGAGTTTTAAATTAACCATTTGAGCTTTAAATGAGTATTCTATTGCCTTTTAAATTGAAACAGCATTGTTGCATTATTTTTGTGTAAGTTAGATGATTATTGTTATTGGTTGATAAGTTTGTCACAGACTTTTTCTGTGTCTTTATGGTTTTGTTTTCAAATGTGTAATGCACATGATCTAATCTTTTTCATTTATTATGAAAAGTAATAGCAAGTTGTTTTTGCCATCTTTTAATATAGTTTTTAAAAGTAATATTATCTTTAAGGTGAACATTGACATAGCAAATCAGGTTCCCATTTAACAATGTCTACACAGATTTTTCAGTGATACTGGTTACATTTTTCACAATGTGTCATTCTCTTTCATTCCGTTTTGCTTGCACATTTTTAGTACTCTAGTTTCCTTGACCCCTTCCCTACCTTTTCATCTTTGGTTCAGAGTAATTTTTGACCATTTGGTTTCATATAGATGAATTTTTAAAGGAGTTCATTTGTTCCTCATGAGTGATATTCTTTATTTTATGAGCCAGTCTGTTAACTAGCTAAAAAGTGAGACCTCAAGGGATAATTTCTGTTTAAGGTTTAAAGAGTGTCACTGGGTGATAGTCTCAGGAGTCCTCTAGTCTCAACCAGACCAGTAAGTCTGGACTTTTTAAGAATTTGAGTTTTGCTCCACATTTTTTTCCCATTCTATCAGGATCCATCTATTGTGACACTGATCAGAATGAATGGTCAGTAGTGGTAGCTGGGCACCATCTAATTGTTCTGATCTCAGGGTATATGAGGCTGTGGTTCGTGTACGTTATTAGTCCTGTAGACTACTTTCTTCTCTGAGTCTTTGGTTTCCTTCTTTCTCTTTTGTTCCAGATGAGTAGAGACCAGTAGTTGTATTTTAGATGGCCACTTGCAAGCCTTTAAGACCCTGGACACTACTCACCACTTTGGAATGTAGAACATACCACTTTATGAAACTATATTGTGCCAGTTAATTGAGTTGTCCCATGAGACACTGTGGTCCTAAGCCTTCAAACCCAGAAAACAAATCTTGTGAGATGTTTGCTTCTCTTAATAAAATTTTAAAGTCTTAAGTAACAGACTGGATTTAAGGCAGTGGTTCTCATCCAGGGGCTATTTTATTTGGCCCTGTCTGGAGACATTTTTGGTTATCACAATTAGGGGGAGGAGTGTACCTCTGACATCTAGTGGGTAAAGGACAGGGATGTTGCTAAATATCCTACCATGCACAGGACAGCCCTCTACAACAAAGAATTTTCCAGCCCAAAATGTCACTAGCGCCAAGGTTGAGAAAACCTGGTCTAAGTAAGGTATTTAACTGTAAATAGAGGATTTTCTCTTTTCCTGAAATTGAAGTCTGCCCTCTGAGTACTATTAAGTTTTATCCCTCAGATATTACTTGAATAATTCTGTACTCAGCTATGCTGTTTTTCTCATGAATTGAATGTAGTTAACCCAGTGACAGTTTAAGCAGTGAGAACCAAATATGTGTTGTTTTCATGTCATTCAAATTTTTTTCTAGGCCAGTTGGACTAATGCAAGTAAAAAACAACGTGAAAAGCTACTTGAGCTGATACGGCGTCTGGCAGAAGATGATAAAGATGGTGTAATGGCACACAAAGTATTGAACCTTTTGTGGAATCTGGCCCACAGTGATGATGTCCCTGTAGACATTATGGATCTGGCTCTCAGTGCCCACATAAAAATACTAGATTATAGTTGCTCCCAGGTAAGGGCATGTTCCTTGGTTCACTTTCTGTGACCTTTTTCCACATTTAGGATGGCTTAGTTACAGGATAGTTTCAGGTTTTTCTGACATTGTTACTTTTGAAATGATCTTTAGGAATTGGCTTATTTTTCTTCAGATTAGTCTGCCTTCCTCTTATGTCTCTACAGCAAGGTTTGTATAGAAAATAAAGCAGTTTATTTTCCTTGGGAGAAAGTATATACAAAACAGATTACTTAGTGATAGGATTTCAAGTGTATGGTGCTGAAATACCAGTTTCAAATAGATTGTAGAACATTAAAACTGATTAAGGACTTTTAGAGGTAGGAGAAATTAGATTTTCCTTGCACATAGGAAGTTAATAAAAATTAATGGAATTTCCTAAAAAATAAAACAGTGCCTTTCCTATGAGCAAATCACACAACAGCTTCCGTGTATTCTAACTTGTAGCATGATGTATCTTTTAACATACAGTTAAATGAACATTCCTGAACAATTAATTTCCTACTTGTTAATAAACGTATTGGCTACACTGATGAACTGAAATTTAGGTTAAGAGCTAGGAAAATAAGTAGGTATGTCTGATTCAGATAATACTCAGTTTTTTAATTATGCTTGATTGTGACGGACAGTTCATTAAGTAAAAAGAACCTTGAGTTTAAATTATTTCACTAAACTGAGAAAACCCTCTGGGGAATCGTGAATCAAAGCAGTACATTTGCTATCAAGAGTTCAACTAGTAGCGCCTTCTTTAATTAGCCATTAGTATCAGTGCCCGGCAGAGTGTTTTCCACGTTAATCCATAAATAGTTATTGAATTTCACTGAACTTAGTAGAATATTGCCTTTTTTAGCTTCATCCTTCATTTTCTGTTTGGGAAACAAATCTTTAAACATTGTTATCCAACTTCCCCACCCCCCAAGCTTTCAAGAGCATGATATATTTGATCATATGTATAAATGCTTTAAAAGCCTCATAAATATATGCACACTGTTGAAGCCAGCAATTCAATTTATAGAAATTTCTTCTTAGAATTGATGGGAAAAGGGCACAGGAGAGATACACACAAGGACATTTATTAGTGTTTATAGACATGGATACTTGGAAACGTCCTGAATAATTAGCAGTAGTTTATACAATCTATTAGACAGCTATTAAAAACTGGCTATTGATGTGGAAAGACTTTTACTGATAACAGAAAGTGTTTGATGCAAAACACTTAGAGTATGAACCTAGTTTTGTTACCAAAAAAAAAGAAATGTGAAGGTATTGTAAAAATAATCCCAAATGTTAGGAGTTGGGATGTATATGCACACATGCGTGTATGTAATTGCTTTCCTTTTCCAATACATACACATAAAATAATCCAAACTTACAAATTTATTATGTACCCAAACCTGTACTTCTGATTACTATTAACTTAAAGAGTGAATAAAGTATGAGAAATGAAATATTATTTGAAACAATTTTGAGTTTTACAGCATTTGTAATTTGTAACTGCTAGTGCCTGTCCTTGTCCCTTTCTCTCATTTTGTGTGTGGATATGTTTTTTATTTTGATTTTTTTTTTTTAAACGTGCATAGTTGTCATGCCATTGTTTTCCTGGTAAAATATAAATTTTCAGTGTTACTGTGTTTAGAAAAATGTGCTAAAAACAAATTCATAGAGTAACAATCAGTTCTTAGACTACTGCTAAATTTTGTGATATGGTAGAATAGCTTAAAATATTGCATAATACTGAATGCCCACCTTATGGAAAACTTTTAAAATCAAACTGTCAGTGTACCTAACACTTAGGATCTGTACCTTTGTGTAGCTATGTCTGAGTCCATGTGGTACTGAGCTTTTATAATAGTCCTTGTCTTTTTGGAGTTTCGGTAGTAAATGTGAAATAAAAATATGCTTAAAGGATTTTTTTTTTTTTTTTTTACATTAAACTCTTTACTACAAGTACAAAATAATCCTTTGATGGTAATCTTAGAAGTAAAGCTTCTGTTTTATTATTCTCAAAATAATTTGAAGGTAGAATATTCCTGAGTATTGATCTATGTAAAACATTGAAATTGTTTAAGGACCGTGACACACAGAAGATCCAGTGGATAGATCGCTTTATAGAAGAACTTCGCACAAATGACAAATGGGTAATTCCTGCACTGAAACAAATTAGAGAAATTTGTAGTTTGTTTGGTGAAGCACCTCAAAACTTGAGGTAAGGCTTTTAACATAGAGAGAATTTCAATATTTTTATTTATGTATTACAGTATATCAGTTGGTAAAAGCAAATTTCAAAGAAAGAAAATTAGAGTGAGTTAACAGGAGACTAAGACAGGAGTTAGTTTGGAACAAAAGAAGAATCCATCATACCCACCTTCTTTATTTTATTCATGAGGGAGCAATCCACTGATAAAGTGATAAGTATCAGAATCAAGACAGTAATAATTGCCTTCAGGTTCTTAGTTCACAATTCTCTCTTATTTCCAACAAGTGTGCCAGACAGTTTCATGGCATGTGTTGTGCCTATTAATCCCACTACTCATTTCCTTTTATCCTTCCTGCCTTTATTTCCCTCTTTGCTCAGTGTCCACCCTTTATTCTACATTGTAGTAGTATTTCTTACAAAAATTTTTTTTCTGACTTATTTTAGCTAAATTTCTGTACTTAAATGTACTATCTTAGATGCCAAATTCTGGTTACTGGAAAAATTTCTCCTTGTGTTTTCTGGTAATAAAAACTGTTACCATCTAGTCAGTTCCAACTCATAGCGACCCTATAGGACAGAGTAGAACTGCCGCATAGGGTTTCCATGGAGCGGCTAGTGGATTCGAGCTGCCAACCTTTTGGTTAGCAGCCAAGCTCTTAACCATTGTGCCACCAGGGCTCCTTTCTGGTAATAGATAGCATGAAAAGGAAAAACAATGCAGAAAGAGTTAGTTGTAGTGGAAAGAATATTCACAATGGAGCCAGGATTCCTGGGTGTGAACTTTGTGTCTAACCAGTCATATGATCTTAAAAAGGCTCTCCAATCTTTTAGAAACTTAGTTTTCTTATGCATGAGATTAGATGATTGCTCAGATCCTTTACAACTCTTAGACTGCTGTAATTATGTGTTAAAATTAAGAAAGACTACATATGTTTTATGTTAAACTCAAACTTCCTGTTTATTTTTTTCCCAAGTCTGGAAAAAAAATATGAATTTGAAAAGTTACAGGGATAAATGCTGACTGAAATTTAGACATATACCTTATTAACAGTGATATTTATTTAAGGGACGTATTTTAAGTGTATTTGGCCCACTGTATATATGCCTTTTGTCCTTTCTGAAATAAATCCATTTGTCTCTTTTAGATAGTGGTTTACATACTTTTCCCAAAAATACAGTGGCTTCATCTCCATTAAAATAGTAACAGTTGTGATAGTTGATTGACTTTCATGAAGGTGGCAAAATAGGTTGGAAAGGAACTAGATGTCTTTCTGGTGACACCTATGGGCAAACTTGGCTACAACCAGGTGTCGCAGAATATACCCCGAATGGCTGTTAAATAAAATTTTACTTAAACCATTTTCTTTTGGTTAAATTCTTCAGTATAATCACAGCATAATATTTGTGATTCTTTTCTTACAAGGAATGCTTTCATTTTGTAATTCTTGAAATAATCATGTAGACTTAGCGAGTGCTTTGGTACTAGTATAATATAGGGGTAGACTATAGAAATCAGTCCATTGAAGTAGACTCCCATGGGATGAGGTTGGGAAATATTGATGTATAGTTTTCATGTAAAATTAAAAAACTATTTTTTTAGGCATTATTTTAAATTGCTTGCTGTTGTCATTAAAGGAAGTAAATGGACAAAAATGTAATTCTGTTATGAATGAAACCATTTTAAATGTTTAAACTAGTAACTGAATTTATATTGTATAAACTTCTGATTACAACAGAGTTTAATTGCCTAATTATATTGTTAAGTTCTTCTCGTTTCAGTCAAACTCAGCGAAGTCCCCATGTATTTTATCGCCATGACTTAATCAATCAACTTCAGCACAATCATGCCCTAGTTACTTTGGTAGCAGAAAACCTCGCGACTTACATGGAAAGCATGAGACTGTATGCTAGAGGTATGTACTGTAAGCTAAGGTTAACTATGGGAAGTAACAGCAACTTCCCAGCCATTTTTTTGTCTTCATTAATTGCTTTAGAAATGATAGCATACTTATTTTAAAAGATGCAGGATAATTGGTTTTATTAATTGTGTTTCTTTATGAGCTTGCAATCCACTTACCCCCAAGTTTTACACAACCTAAACTCTAGGCCAGCATTTCAAGACTCTTTACTAAACTAAGAGCCTTCCCTGCTCTCCTTGTTAAACTGATTTTTTTTTCTCCCCTGCCTGGGAGCTCTGCCTGCCAGTGTTACTATTGGTTGTTACCTTCTTAGGTATATACTTGACTCATTTTCAACCTTTTTTTCTTACTACTACCACCTTTAGTTTTTCAAGAAAACTTGACTCAAAACTCACCTGTAAGAAATCTTCTGTTAATAATTTTGTCTAAGTCTGATTTTACATATATTAAAATTCTTTTATAATCTTAAGTCTGTTTCATAAGTGCTTTGGACTTTACGAATTAAAAATTCACAAGAATAGAGACAGAAGACTGTAGGAATCATGATGTCTTAATTGGTTCTCAGACTTTGAAATTGTTTAAACATGTTAGGGTAAAGTTTCCTGTGATTTCAACAGACAAGGTGTTGGAGCGCCTGCCATATGTGGAACCCTGTTTCAATACTCTTACTCCCTCTGACAGTCATATCAGAGTCTGTGTGCTAGAGCACAAATGTGTTCTTTAGTACGTATTCCTCCTCTGTTTTATGCCGAGTTCAGAGGCCAAAAAAATCTGCTACCTTGTTCCTAGGGTATAGATTAAAAATACTGTATATTTCCAGTGTTTATAGAATTAGAGTGTTACAGTTAATTGAATGTTACATTAAATGAGTAGGATTTAACTACTCATTATGTTTGTATCTGCAGAAGCCAATAGTGTGTGTGTGTGTGTATATATATAATATATTTAAAATGAGGATATTTGCAGTACTCATTATTATGAAGAATAGAGTACACTCTTGCCATAGATTGTAGGGCCAGAAGAGCAATCAATAAAAGCATCAGTCTGCTAATGGACAATAGGCAATGACCTTTTATCACTTCAATCCTAGGTTCCTTCTAAGAAGCATGACAGAACAGGCAGTACATTATAGGCATGCAGCTATGATTTATGTTTTATATATTAAATGCAATCAAAATTAGTGTAAGAAGCAAGGGATGTGCATGCAGTATACTTTAGCTCCAAAGTATTCGGGCTCAATTTAACATAACTCAGATTCTTTATGATTTCATCTCTTGCTGGTAGTGCAGAGCCCTCCCAGTTGCCCATCCAGACCTTCCCCCAAAGTGGAGCCATCTAAATTATATGTGCTTCAGTGTTAATTTCTATTTATTTCATTTACATATGATGTTTCATTTAATTTCATTGTTAGAGATTAGGAACCCTACTGCAAGGGCAATTAGGAGAACGGTCCATGTGCAGTTCAGCCTCACTTAGGGTCTCCTCCATTTTAGTCATATTCTATTTGAGTTATTGCACCAACTCAATTTCATGGTCACACGAATATCTGCACTCTTCAGCTTCCCCTGCTTACATTGTCAGTATCTCCACCAAGTAAAAGGTATGAATCTGTATCGTCAGATTGCCTAGGTTTAAAACCTGACTCAAACAGCTGTATGACCTTAGGCAAGTTCTGTATGCTAGCACAATACCTGGCAAATAGTAAACATTAGAATTTTTGCTATTAATATGTTTCTTCGATACCATCTGTTTCTCCTAACAAACCTTGATACGTTTTCCTCCTCTGATACAGTGCAATATAATTTTGATTAGTACCTATCTGTCTACACATACTTAAATATGGAAGGAAAGTAATTTTTTAATCTTCATCTTTTTGCCTTTTTCTTCTGTCATACTTTTCATGACATTAAATCACTTCTTGGTAATGTCAACCACCAGCATTTCTGAATTTGTAATCCTGAAGCAAGTTATGGTTTTTGCCTCTGTATAATAAAAATGTTGCATGGATCCCATTAAGCATGAAACATGCTGTGCATCAAATAACATCATGCTTCCACAGTTCACTGATGCTCTCAATTTCAGGTAACCATTTCACCAGTATTAAGAATTTGTTTCGCGCATCTGTATTTCATCTCCACTAGCATCTCTACTTTGGAGAAAATATTTCCTCAGTAACATTGTCGGCTGATTTCACTTCCTACTTTAAAATTAGTTCTGGTGGAGGAATGAATTTCTTAAATTCTCTCCAACTTCTACTCATTGTCTCACTACTACTGCCTTCCTGCACTGGTGCTTCCCCAGTCATTCTTTAAATGTTTTTTTTATACGCATACAACAAAGCATAAACCAGTTTTCAGTTTTTAGCTCATTGGAAAGATAATTGGTGTACTGAGCAGAACACTTACTGAAAGTTTCGTTTTTTTCCTGGTTTCTGGATCTGTTGGGGGACTTGTCATTGTAATTACATTATTGCATCCTGTTTCCTTATGACTGCCAGTTTCCATCATCTGTTCCCATTCTCTTACATCTAACACTGGCAGTTTTGGGGAACGTTTTCCATAAAAAACGTTCCTTCATGAGTGTCATTCAGTAACAGTTCTGTTAGAATGGATATTCTGGGCTAGACTTGCTTAGTAGCTCTGACTCGTTCCCACACATCATCAGTGAAGTTAAATCTTTGTGAGTTCTTTAAGCTAGTATTAACCATTTTATTAAGTTTATAGCTGTTTGAAGAAACGGCTGTTTCCAGGCCTGGGGCATGGAAAGTATAAGATTAACCTTGAACATTTTATTCCAGAAAGTATGGAAGTGCTCAAAAAATCTTGCTGATATGTCAAAAGGACATAGGAGTTAGCTCTCAATGGCCAAATGTGGGTTAGTTAGAGTAGCAAAATAAATGATAGTAATTGAACCCATTAAATAAAATTTGAATCTTTTTTTCTATACTGATAAAGGAGAATACCAATAATAAATGTAGAACATATGATGGAAATCAAAAACCAAGAGATGGGGGTGGCAGTTAACTTCTGGAATGGCAGGGTAAGATGCTTGGCAGATACTCTCCTTAACAGTAAAACCATTTAACAACAAAATACCCATTTATTGGAGAAAATTATAAAAAGCAATTATTTAAAGTCTGTGGAAATATCATAATGGGATACACATTTCTTCAAGAAAATCTAGTAACATTTATTGGAGAAACATTTACTCAAGAAAATCTGAATCTATAGTGACAGTCTGTAGCATTTGAGCCACAACTTGTGTCCTTCTTCCCATACTCAGCTCTATTACATGGAAACTACTCTGGGCAGGTGCAGCCAAGAAGAGGGAGCTCCCTCACCATAGCTGCCAGTCTAGGATTATGGTTTCACTTAATGAGGGACAGTTTACCAGTGTTTCTTTTCCTCCCCAGTCCTGTATTAGAGAAACTCTATTCTTGGTGGTCTTAGCTAAGAGAGCTGACACTCCCTTACCCCTCTCAGCCCCTGCTAGTAGGGCAGAAACTTGGCTTTAGTCCATTAATACAGTTGTCTGAATTACCCCAACCCCCAGCTCACTCATAGGATGGAGGTTCCATGCTAGGAAGGGCGTTCTGAAAAAACTAGCACCCTCCCTACCAGCACCTGTTCGTAGAGCAGGGGTATCACTCCACGAGAGGCACGCTGCTGTCCCTGCTCCAAGTTCTGTGCATTGTTACAAGGGTGTTCTGCCCAGATTGAGAAGCAAGCTATAAGGACAAATAGCTAGGTAGTTTGGCTTGAAGGACTGGTTTTATTTGAACCAGAGCATGCCATACCTAAAGGCAGTATCATAAACAGTAGAGATCTTGGTGAAGAGCAATTAAGATGGTGCTTGTAACTATGTACTGGTACTAACAACTGAAACAGTAGAGCAACCAGAAGTTTAACAGATAAGCGAAGAGCCCTTCTGGGAACACAGTCAGCCCTGGGGGTTAAGGACGGCGGTATGCATGGGTTAGGCTGCAGCCACACCGAAGCAATGAAGAGTAGCATGTGGGGCAAGTTGAAAACATTCCCCAAGTTGCACACTGATCAATCAACAAAAGGCAGAGACTTCATGGGCACAGGGAGCTTAAACAATAAGCTACCCTGATGCATGGGAAAATCCTAGGAATAGAAAATTGCACACATCCGTGCATGCCTAAAACTGACGTCTTCAGGAGTGATTGGAGACAAAATATCGAAGCTACTAGTCTCTGGCTATATGTGAGGCAAAAACATAATCACCTTGAACTGTGATGGCAGCCTCAAGCTACACGCATGTCCAATGGTAAAGGGTAAATACCAAACTAGCCGGGGGGCTTAAGCACAGTCTTCGACCAATAAGAGGCTTAAGCTGACCTAGGGTGACCCCTAGGTAGCCAGGCTAAAAGAAAAGGGGAAGAAATCTGAGTAGATGTATCAGAGGGCTGCAGTAGTGGGCGGGTTAGTCTAGCTTGGTCACCAAACAAGCAAACAGCATCAACCTGTGCGCTGGGAGTTAGGTGAGGGCTACAGTTGCTACAATATGATACTGAAAATGTCCAGCTTCCAACAAAGAAATTTAAAAGACGTGCAAGGGAACTGGAAAGTCTGACAGATAACAGAAACTGCCTCTGATGATGGCCTCAGCAGACAAAGACTTGAAAGCAGTTCTTATAAATATGTTCAAAGAACTGAAGAAAACTGTGTCTACAGAACTGGAGGTATGATCACAATGCCTAATCAGAGAATATCAGTAAAGAGATAGCAATTATTTAAAAAAAAAAAAATTCTGAAATTAAAATGAGAAATTCACTAGTAGAGCCAAACAGTAAGTTTGAACTGGCAGAAGAAAGAAGTAGCAGTTTTTAAATATAGAGATGATGCGATCTGAAGAACACAGAAAGAAATTAAAGTGAACAGAGCCTCAGAGAAACGTAGGACACTATTAAGTGCACTAACATGCACGTAATGGGAGTAGCAGAATAATAAAGGGGCAGAAAAAGAAATGTTGGAAAACTTGACAAATTTGACTAAAAACATTATATTAATCTACACATACAAGAAGCTCAGCAAACTCAAAGTAGGATAAATGCAAAGAGATCAAAACATCATAGAAAATCTTGAAGGGTGGTAAGAGAAAAACGACTGAGGGCACAGGGGAACCCCAGTAAGATTAACAGCTAACTTCTTATCAGAAATTTGGAAGCCAGAAGGCAGTAGGACAACGTATTCAAAGTGCTGATTGGGGTGAGGGTGGTTCTGCTAACCAGGAATCTTAAATGCGGCAAAATTGTCTCTAAGAATTGAAGACTCCCCTAGGTAAAGAAAGACCAAGAGAATTTTTTGCTGGAAGACTTCACTAAATGAAATACAGGAAATAGTTTATTTGTCCGGTTAAGGTCTCTGGGTGGTGCAAACTGTTTGCGTTCGGTGCCTAACTGAAAGGCTGCTGGTTTGAACCCACAGGGGTGCCGAGGAAGAAAGGCCTAGTGATTTACTTCTTTAAAGATTACAGCCAAGAAAACACGGTGGACCTCAGTTCTACTCTGTAACACATGAGGTCGCCATGAGTTGGAATTGACCACAATGGTTTTAGGGGGTTATTTTGGAGGGTAGGATGGGGAAGAATGGGGAGTGACTAGGTACAGAGTTCTTTTTAGGGTGAAGAAAAGTGTTGTAAACATAAATTGTGATGAAAGATGTGTACACAACTGTGACTATACTAAAAACCATTCAATTGTATACTTTAAATTGGTGAATTTTATGGTATGGGAATTATGTCTCAATAAAGATTTTTCTTTTTAAAGTGAACTTTCTCTTTTATATTGAGTTCTGAAAATAGACAATTTGTTTATAATGACAACAACCAGCTTATATTAGTCTCAGCCATGAGTTACCATTTCTTCCCACCGATTTTCATAGACACCACAGTTAATTTAGTATCATGTAATTCCTTCTTCTATTTGCAGTGGGAAATTTGCCACCGAGGCAACACAAGTTGAATGTTCCCAAAGTTCTACACTGTGTCCCTCGTCTTAGTTCTTGATGAAGTCAGCACCTAAAGGAAAAGGGGGCAGTGCTGAAACTAGTGGTTAAAAGTTTGATAAAAGATGTTTAAATAGTCTCAAAGTATTTCCCCACAAATAACTAATTGTGGAGAAGATAATAGTAACTTTACAGTGGAGAAACCTGGTGGAAACTACCTTAAGTGATCAAAGTTAACATTTGAGTATTGGCACAAACTGAGAAGATGTGCTTCCTGATAATGATGCACTGAGGGAGACATGATGCACTGAGGGAGACATATCACTTTTGTGGTGTTTTTACAAAAATGCATAACCTGAATCTAATCCTGAGGAAGCATCAGAGACACCCAACTTGAGGGATGTTCAACAAAATTGGCCTATAGTTTCAAAAAGATCAAGAAACACAAAGAAGTGATGAATTCTCCAGATTTAAGAAGAATAAAAAGGCGTAATAACTAAATGCAATGCTTAGTCTTGGGCTTGGAGAAAAGGAAATATAAAGGTTTGTAATCAGAAAATGGATTAAACTTGAATATGGACCGTGGATTAAATCAGTACTCCACGTGCATATTTGGCAATGTCTGGAGACATTTTTGATTGTCTTTGGAAGATGGAGGGAGGAGGTTCTACTGGCATCTAGTAGGTAGAGGCCTGGGATGTTGCTGGACACCCTGTAATGCATAGGACAGACCTACACAACAAATAATTGTCTAAACCAAAATGCTAGTAGTATGTTGAGAAATCCTAGGTTAAATAATAATATAGTAACAGTGTTTGATAATTGTACTATGGTTATATAAGAGAATGTCCTTGTTTAGGAGATACACATTGAAGTACTTACAGTAAAGGGACATGTCTCCAATTCCCAAATCGTTTAGAAAAAATGATACATGCATATATGGTGACTAATGAAGCAAATGGGGCAAAGTGTAAACAATTGGTGATTCTGGGTAAGGATTATAAGGGAATTCCTGTATTCTTTTGAAAATTGCTGAGGATTGAAATTACTAAAAGTCACCGCTAAAAAAGAAGCATGTATGCAAAGCTTAAAAAAGGGAGCTGAAGTCCAGTGTTTAGTCAGATGTTTCAAGATTAGTGCTCTGAATAAGAAAATTTATACATAATAGAGTAGAACTTGGTGTTTTCTCCAATTTCTTGAGAAAACCTCATGAGAAGTAAGGCTTCCAGGTCTGAGCTTTGATGAAATTGACTTCCATGGAAGTAGACAATTTGTGTTTGTGATTGTTGGCACATGCTAATGCATGCAGAAGTAGAAAGCAGTGAGTCATAAATACATGGGATTCCTTTCTTCACCCAGCATCAAAAGCATGTATGTTTCCAAACATTGTAAAAGTTTCATCTTTACAGTGTGTCAAGATTTTGTTCAGAGAAGAACCTCACGGTTTAGACGACCTCGATTATTACTTCACACAATTAGAATTCTTTGGCACTTGCGGACACATACTATAAAGCCCAGAATTTATTAGTCGATTTCAGGTTGCCTTTTAATGATTAATGACTTTTTAACTGACTTAATTTCCTTTGGTTAAAGGTAGCAGTGATGTGGGTATCCATCTGTGTACGTCATGATTTTTCAATTTTTTTTTTTTTAATTTGAAGACCATGAAGACTATGACCCACAGACTGTGAGGCTGGGAAGTAGATACAGTCATGTTCAAGAAGTCCAAGAACGGCTTAACTTCCTTAGGTATGTTTTAAACAATTGGTGTTGCTCTCATTAAGACACAGATAAGGAATGTAGAGTTAATGTTCTGTGTAGGTCTTTTTTAGTTGACCTTTTCTCTCTGAAGTTGAATGTTTACCTATCATTGCCTAAAAGTCACATGACATTTCCTTATGTGGTCGTTATTAAATATAAATATTTTAATATTATTTGCTGAGCTTCAACTTTTTTTCTTATTTGCAGTATTTGAAGGAGAGCATGTTCTAAATTTTAGGATTGAGTTCTGTTCTTCATATTCGTTTACAGTATAAATGTTTTTAAAGAACAAATTTTTATATTGGACACAATCAGCTGGACAACCATGTTTTGTCACAGGGACTAAGGAAAGAGGGACGGAAGGCTCCTGGACCAGCACCGCAGCAAAGTGGTTTGAGTCCTCTAGTGCCTTTTTTATCCTAACAATAACTGACAATGGCAATCTGAAGTCATGTGTTAATAACATTACTTCTGGTGGGGAGAAGGAAAAGAGGTTTATTCCATTAAGCCAAAGTTAGATGTAGTCCAAGGCTAGCTAGATTTGCTCAGTGGTATTTAACTTTTAATGACTAAGAGATTTGAAAAGAACCTCTGTTACAATTTTGGGTGATGAGAGGTTTTTTATGAATGGAAATAACCACATCAGATAGTAGAAGAGCACATTTGGACTGTAAATGTGCAAAAGGAAAATTTCTAGACTGTGACTGCTTCAGGAAACGTATTTATTATTTTAATATGTATTCTGGAGGATTTTCTCCCTGGTTTATTTTAATTATGTATTTTCATTTATTAAACTATGTGCTTATTTATGGGGGAAAACTTATGTGTTTACATAAGGATTTTAACTTGAGAAAAATTCTAGCCGCCAGATTTTAAGAACTTCAACGTTTGTTTAAAGTGAAGTGTTCTGTATGTTGGTTTGCTTTTTAACCATGTGGATACAAGAACTTGCCTTCCCAGATTGAGACTCAGGGCCATAACGAGCCGTTGTTATTGACTGGCATGTATTGTGTCCCTTAGGTTTACTAGAACAGTAAAATGGTTACAAACCTTTTTGCTCTATTTAAGTTAGGAGTCAAGAGGATTTATTTTAGATCCTGCTGTATTAGTGCCTGTCTGTATGATTTATAGCAACTCACTGGATAGAATCCTACTATTTAATGCCCGCTGTGTATTTGGCCTTGTGGTAAATAAACGTTACATTTAATGATAGCAACATGTTGAGGCAAGTGTTATTCCCTTTTGATTAATAAGAAAATCAAGATTCAGATTGGTTAAAGTACCTTGTTTGAAATCACTCAGCCAGTATGTGATATGGAGCTGGATTACTCAACTAAGTCTACTGACTTTAAAACCTATGCTGTCTTCATTAGACCAGTGATTTTTCAAACTTTTCTTGGAGCCTTAGGGCTTCTTAGGGAGGTGTCTTGAAGGTTTCTAAACAGTGGAGAGTTTCATCTCCATTTTCTCCTTAAATTTCTTTGTTCTAATATCTGGGGCAGCTCCATGGACTTGTGTATGGATTTTGGTTTGAAGAAGGATTTCATTGCTATCCTTAAAAAAAAACTTTGAAAACGACTGTTTTTTATCCCACTGTACCACAGTTTTCCTCATCTGTAAATTCAGGACAGGCAAGGTTAGATAGGACTAGATGCTAGACACCCTCTTTAAGCTCAGCAATCTTATGAAAATATCAGGGACCCTAGAATTAAGATCCAAAAGTGCTTTGAAATGGAGAGGAAACCTACTGACATTCGGTGGATACTCCTTACTCTGTAACTGGGCATGGAGCCACCATTATGATGTTAGCCAAGAATTATGTGTAAAGTCACCATTCAGAATAAAATTAGCTGTTCTCTTTCTTTGTTATTCACATAGCAGACTGGGTGGGTGGATGAATGCTAAAAGAAATTAGAAAGCTAACCGAAGGAAGAAACTATAGTTGTAGCATAATTCACCTTTATTATTGTCTTATTTTAATGACTAAACAAGGAGTCGTACAACTAAAAAGACCCTAGGGGACATCACTGAATAAGTGACAAGTATCCTATTGATTATTGACATAAAAAGTTATTAAACCCTATGTAGGTTATTCTGTTTAATGTGGTCTGGTACTGAGTGATGGATATTAGATCATCAGAAAGTATTAGACATTAAGCTGTTTTAACTCTTCAATGTCAATGGGTTAGTTATCTTTGAAAATCACCTAGTAGAATACTTAATTCTCCAATGATGCCATATAAGCAGCATGCTAAATCTTTTAATTTAAAATCAAATGACCTATTAAAATTCCTTTAAAATGGTTGATTTCAAAGACTAAACCGTTCAGGGAACAAGTCTTTTATTCACATTAGGTCCAGTCACCTAGCAGAGTTCCCTTGCACGTAGTAGGTGCCCAATATATGCTTCTTAAAGGACTACATTAATATGTAGTGTTTTTTAGTACCAGATAAAAATAATTCCTTTTGAAACGACTTTTCAAAAATCTGTACTTAAAATATATTGTGAATAAATGTTTTGTTTTATACATATCCAAATAGATTGCCTTTGAGGATAAAATTATGCAGATCCTAATGGCTAATTTTTTGTTTTTCTAAGATTTTTATTGAAGGATGGCCAGCTGTGGCTCTGTGCTCCACAAGCAAAACAAATATGGAAATGCTTAGCAGAGAATGCAGTTTACCTTTGTGATCGTGAAGCTTGTTTTAAGTGGTATTCCAAGTTGATGGGAGATGAACCAGACTTAGATCCTGATATTAACAAGGACTTCTTTGAAAGTAATGTGCTTCAGCTTGATCCATCCCTATTAACTGAAAATGGAATGAAATGTTTTGAGCGATTCTTCAAAGCTGTGAATTGTCGAGAAGGGAAACTGGTAGCAAAAAGAAGAGCCTATATGATGGATGATTTGGAGTTAATAGGTTTAGACTACCTTTGGAGGGTAAGTGAAAAGTAAAAACACTGTATCTGATGTATTTTTTCAAATAGGTAAAGAATCACAATTTTGCATATGAATTAATATGTGTTTTATTTTGCTCTGATACTGGTCCCAGGAGTCTGGAGTAGTAATTGTTCATCTTCTTTTTGTGTCATTTGCCAGTGGACACACACCTCCCTCGGTCCTGCCCTCGCTCTGCCACTGATACTTCTGTTTTCTTGGAAGATACTATACTGTTCCCCCCTATTTTTATTCAGTGTCACTCTCTCTTTCTTCTGTGTCAGTATGAATTTCAGGTTATTATACATTTAAGACCATTACAATAGAGGACAGAAGAGAAGACTTTCAATTTTTTATGCATGTATGCTTTTACTGGCACTGGTTTAACTTGTGATATTTTTAGATACCTGGGAGAGTAAAATATTATGTTCTGCATAAGGCTAGTCTTTCCCTCTTGATAGTACTGATATATTATTCCTGGTTTTTGAAGTCTGACCTGTTACACAGTTTATATTGGTTTTTGGATATAAAGTATTTTTCTGTAAACTATAAATAGACTAAGATGTTTACTATAATTCAGTGGTTTTCAAACTTTTATCTTAAACTGCAGAAATACTTTTTAAAAATCATTTACATGATACTCCAAAATGTAGAATTAGTTGAAATGAGAAAGGCCTGGTTTTTTCTGATGAGTTTCCCCATGCTTCCTTCCTTTTCCCTCCCCAAGCCTGTTACAGGGGTCAGCTCTAAAACACCTGAAAGGTAATTGGGGTTATTTGGTGGGGGGGGGGGGAGGTTTATAAGTATTTATTATCCTCATTATTGAAAACCACTGATTTAATTAGATGAGTGATAGAGATCTGTAGAAATGGGAACGGGTAACCCTTTATGCTAAACTTTATTTCATTTAGTCTCTTATTTCCTTTTAACTAATGTGAATTCGTCTTTGAATGCTTCACAACTTGATTACCAAGATGTTCAATTGCAGGGTTAAATAATACTGGTCAAAGCATGTTTCATGTGTGTAAAATGTGTCTCATTCTTAAATTATTTTATTCAAAGACTTGCGTTTTACGTATTGTTATTCTTTCTTTTGGTCTGTTTTCTTAATTTATTTGATTATCAAAGTCAACGTACTGTTAAATTATTGGCTACTCTATATGGTTTGAATTTAAATTCCCAATTAAAATATTTTTTGAAAGGTATTAAACACTCAATCTTTTTGAACCTAGGTTGTGATACAGAGTAATGATGATATTGCTAGCAGAGCAATAGATCTCCTTAAAGAGATATACACAAACCTTGGTCCGAGGTTACAGGTCAATCAGGTGAGGATTAAGATGTATTAAAACTTCCACAAATTAGAATCCGGATTGAAAGAACTTCTTTGCTTTTAAGATTTTTTTCTTTAATTCAAAATGAACTAGAAATTGTTTTGTTTCAACTTTTATTACGAATATATCTGAACTATTTAGTCCATACTTCTCTCGTAGAAATTGCTGACTAAATGAATCTTGCCTTGACTTTATCTTGAGGTAATTGGGGTTATTTGGTGTGGGGGGAGGATTTTGAGTATAATTATTTATTATATGTTGAAATGGTAAGAGATTTGACTCAGTTTGGTTTGATACTGACACTGAATCCTGAAGTTCATTTCTTAACTATCTCATTTATGCTTGTTAATTTATTAACACCAGCCTCCTTTTAATAAACATGGGTTTTATTATCAGTAAAGACTCTGGTTAAGCTGCCTTTAACTTTTACATTTCAAAACAGCTTGAACTGTTTTTATTTGGCCCGTTATTTGTAGGTGGTGATCCATGAAGACTTCATTCAGTCTTGCTTTGATCGTTTGAAAGCCTCCTATGACACATTGTGTGTTTTGGATGGTGACAAAGACAGTATTAATTGTGCAAGACAGGAAGCCGTTCGAATGGTTCGAGTACTAACTGTTTTAAGGGAATATATAAATGAATGTGACAGTGATTATCATGAGGAAAGAACAATTCTACCAATGTCAAGGTTTGTGATGGATCTACTAATTCTGATTCTTAGTTATTTCGTATTTTCCTAGCCATTTGATCAAAAAAAGTGATGATGTGCAGATAAAAGGAGGGTGAAGAAATTTTCATTTTTGGAAATATCGGTGTCCTGCTCATTATAAAAACCTTATTTGCATCTTACCAATTATTTTTTTAATAATAGACCTTCTTTTCCAGTATCTGTTTTGTTTTTATTTTTTTGGCAAGGCATTCTCATTCATTAAAACTAGTTTTTGTCTTTTATTCTTTTTCCATTGAAAAATGCCTTTTATGTGTCACATTGATAATTTTGCAATTCCAAGTGGTTTTATTTTTATGTCATTCATTTACACTATTAAAATAATAGCATAGTCACGTTGGAGAGTAATTGGAAAGAACTCTTAAAAGCTGCTTTGACAGATAGCCAATACAGCAAGGTGTATTTTTAAATGTTCTGTCAAAATTTCTCTTACAGTCTTACCATTTAGTAATTTAAATGGTATTTATAGTTTAGAGATGTTGATAGCATGAATGCCATCAGTAATTTTTTTAAAAGAGGTCTCTTTGTTAACCATGAAGTTATATAAAGTTGCCTTTTGAATATGATTTGTATTTTGTATCTTACCCCCGAGAAGATATCATGCCAGTTATAAGTATCATTTTGGGGTGGATTTTGATATTGAGACATTTTCAGAAAAAAATGTCCCATCTTGACGTTTTTGTTGATATTTTCAAGCCAGAGTTTATCTTCCACATTTAAAAATAGTGAATTGGGCTTTCACAGCAAAAAATAAGTGTTACTCACGTCTCTGTTTGAATTTATTATGACTAGATACCTAATTTTCTGCAGACATCGGTAGAAGAGTGATGCAAATGGATGTGACTGTGTTGTGTTTTCAAGATTACTTATATTTGTAGTTAAAAGGAACAATAAAATTTTATTTTTGAGATGGTACAAATAATACCTGTAACTTATTTCCTTTTGTTTAATAAGAAAGTAATTTAGTATTAAATTGCTAACTTTATTTTCTTGGCACCAGTATGTGAAAGTGTGCTGAATATTATGTTCTTTTTTTTCCTCCCAGAGCTTTTCGTGGTAAACACCTCTCTTTTATAGTTCGATTTCCAAACCAGGGCAGACAGGTTGATGACTTGGACGTATGGTCTCATACAAATGATACAATTGGTTCAGTACGACGTTGTATTCTCAATCGTATTAAAGCCAATGTAGCCCATACAAAAATTGAACTCTTTGTGGGTGGTGAGCTGATTGATTCTGCAGATGATAGAAAGCTAATTGGACAATTAAACTTAAAAGATAAATCGGTAAGTGTATGTAATCATCACACTTTTTAAGTCAAACCTGAGGATTTTTTTATTCGATAATGTTGTTAAATGTGCAATGTTGTGTTAGGTATTTTGGTTATAGCATTAAGTAAGACAGGCATCGTGACACAGTAGATACAGTAAAGGTTTTTAAAAACAAACTTATTTACGGGGTTATATTAGGTAACACATTTAAAACATATTTCTAAAATTACAGGAAAAACAGTATTTTGGGGGGGTGTTGATCACTAAGTTCTGTGTTTCTTTGTCTTTGATATGATACTAATATAACTGTGATTTTCAGCTAATTACAGCCAAACTTACACAAATAAGTTCCAATATGCCTTCAAGTCCTGATAGCTCTTCTGATTCCTCAACTGGATCTCCTGGAAACCATGGTAATCATTACAGTGATGGTCCCAATCCAGAAGTGGAAAGCTGTTTGCCTGGGGTGGTGAGTAGATGCCGCCTTGAGCTGTTATATGCAAGGCATTATGTTTAGGTTCTTTGGGAATAAAAAAGTATATAGAACAGTTTTTTTTCTTGAGGAGCTTACAGTTTAATGAGGCAAATTATCAAATTACTATACACTTAATCATCCCGTCAACTTCAGAATGGATCCCTCTGAAAGATGATTGTAACTTAGTTGAAATTGAAAACAGTTTCTCCGTATAATATTATGTTTGCATAGAATTAATACATTGTACGGCTTAATTATAGTACTCCTGAATATATAAACTTAGAAAAATACCACTGTAAAATCGATTCGTCCTTTAGAACTATTTCTGTAGGAAAATACCTGCACTTTTTCTCAGATTGTCAGGAACATCTTGTATCTAAAGAAACAGCAACTCCTCTCTGTTCCTTCCCCTCCCAAGAATTTTAATGCCTACAGTAATACCAGCCACTGCAATGTCAGAAGGGTTTGGCTCCCTTGGACAGTTGGATTAGGGATTTAACTAATAGGCATGTCAGCCCTTTTTATGTCTTAAGTTCTGTATGGGATAAATAGTTTAGCAAAACAGTAAAAGAGCTGTCACGAATTACTGAAGTTTGCTTGGATGTTGTATTGAGTCTGTATGACGAAAAGGTTTGTATAGGTGAGAAGATAGGGAAGGCAGACCATTTGAGAGAGTAGAAATGACATAAGCAAAAGTGTAGAGATTAACAAACATTTATTTTGGGGACCTTTTTGGAGTAATTTGTAGGTAAATGTTTTCTGTATTTTGTATTCTAGATAATGTCACTGCATCCCAGATACATCTCTTTCCTTTGGCAAGTTGCAGACTTAGGTAGCAGCCTAAATATGCCACCTCTTAGGGATGGAGCAAGAGTGCTTATGAAACTTATGCCACCAGGTAAGTTTTTTGTTTTTGTTTTTTTTGAGAATTTGATAACATACATGCTAGACAGTAAAGAGGGACATTAGCAAATTCTGTTTCTAAATGGAATGTGCTTTGTGCTGTACACTACAACAGAGATTGGCAAACTACAGCCCACAGGCCAAATCCAGCTCACCACCTGTTTTTTTTACAGCCCAAGGAGCCAAGAATATTTTTCTTCATGACCAAAATACTCAACGTAAACCAGGAAATTACATTACTACCATCTAATCATCAGACCCCATCCACGGTTTCTCCAGTAGTGTCTTTTACAGCAAAAAAATCTACTTTTAGAATCAAATATTGCATTTAGTTGACATATCTTTTTAGTTTCCTTCTGAAATAGTCCCTTAGTCTGTCTCTGACTTTCATTATTTTGACACTTTTGAAGATTACAGGCCAGTTATTTTGTAGACTGTCCCTCAATTTAGAATTAGCTGTTTCATCATGATTAGATTCAGGTTATGGATCTTTGGCCGGAATACTTGTCAAGTGGTGTGCAGTTTCAATTTATCTGTATGGACTTATGGTTTCCTCTTACACTCAGCTTTCAGTTAGTAGTTCAGCTTAACCATTTGTGCCATCTAGGGACTCCTTTCCTTCCCTAGTCTTATTTAATATTTTTTAATACGTAAAAATTTACATGGTTCTAAATGTCAGTATAAAAAGATACACTTAGACATTTGTAAGTATATTTGTTACCCTCTCTCAGTAACAAATTTAGTAGTTTCTGGTGTTATCATTCCTGTGTGTTTTTGCAGTAATAAGGAGATACGTGTATACTTATTCCTCCTTTCTTACACAGAATGCAGCGTACTACATACTCTGATGAACTTTGCTTCTCTCACTTAACAATACATCCTAGAAATCACTCCTTATCAATTTATAGTGTGCTTCCTCTTTCATTTTTATATCTGCATATTATTACATTGTGCAGAATTATTCCACTGTACATACCATAGTTTTTCCACCAATCTCCTATGTAGGGGCATTTACATTTTTTCTAGTAATGCAATTACAGATAATTTTCAGGAATTTTTTTTTTTTTTTTGGTCTATTTAATTTTGATTGCTAACATCAGATATCTGAACTTGGCTATCTATTTATATTTATATGTGTAAGAATAGAGCTCCAAGCTGATTGGAAATGCTCTGTGCTTGGACAGGGCTTAGGAACTATTAGACTTCACTGTACGATGATACGTTGTTAATTCTATTTAGGGACTCTAATGACAATATCTGAAGTCTTTTGTCTGGAAAAGTTCATTTGTTTTTTCCCTAGAATCATCCTTCAGACTACTGTTTGTGTGCTGTAAGTTGTGTTGCCAGTTTTCAGAAACCTGGACTGGGGCATGCAGCCTCATTTTTTAGTCTTCAGACTCTGCTTCTGCCATCACGGTCTAGAGTGTCATCACTATCACCCTTCTCTGTGCCTGGTAATCTTGTTCCAGAGCCTCTCAGTTTCAGTTTCTCAAGAGAGTTCTCCAGCCTCCTTTAGGGGTTAGGAGAGTTAGTGGCCTGCCCCCTTCATTGGGGGGAGTGGAAACTTGCTTCTTATGCAGATGTCAATCAGTTCCTTTGGTTTTAGGCCTTTGATTCATCTATACTTGTTTCCAAATCCTTAGCTTTTCTAGGATTCAGTGGGTGAATGGGCTAACTTACAGGTGCCTTCTCCTCTCGTCCCTGACAAACATATCTCGGTTTTGCTAAGCCAGCTATCTATTTTCCGTGCCCTCTACACCTTCAGTAAGTTGTTGATATCTCTCTAGTGTTGCTTCCTATCCTGTTATCATGTCGTTTTGAGTTTATGTATTTTCATATTCATTTATTGTCGTTTCAGTGGTGTTTTGGGGTGCGTTCCTGATAAATACAGTTCAATACACCGTATTTAATTGAGCTAGGTAACTTTCAAAAGTGTGCTTCCATTATCTCCTTTTTCTAAAGTAAACACCTTGTTAAGCTTTCCCCACCTTGCTTTCTGAATCCTATGGGACAGAATCAGTTCAAATATTAATTAGGCTCTTTGCCAGCTAAGGATTCTCACAGAGATTTTGTTTCATTTTTATCCCTTATCTGTTGTATTGTTTAGAATTTGTATTGTCTCATTTGCTAGTATCTGAGTCACAGTCACTGTTGATTTATGTATATAGATAAACATTAACTCAAAACACAAACCCTCATCAAAATCCGTAATTTCGTGATTTGGGCATAATGCCACCAGATGGCGAGAGTATGCTACTCCCTGGTAGCTCAAGTAGGAAACATGAGAGGGTGCTTTTTAATATTTTATATAGTCAAAGTTGTATTATCTAAATTTGAAACGGCCGACTTTTGGGAAAAAAACAGTGATGATTGTTTTACAGTGGAAGAATCACAGGCTTTCGTATCAAACGGACTTGAGTTCAAATCCTGGTTCTTCTAGTTTCTACTCTGGCTTTAGACATAAGTTATCTTAATCTTTCAGAGTTTTCTTGTCTGTAAAACTGGGCTAATGATAACTGTTTCATAGAATTGTAGAGATTAAATGAGGTAATGTATGGAAAAATCCCTAGTTTAATACCTGGCACTTAAGTCAGTATTTAACAAATGCTAACCCATTCTGTCATTATGGTTGTTTATACACACACATTGTGCACACTCTCTCAGTTCTACAAGAGAGGAAGCAGGGGCTCTAAGAAAAGGAAATAGTTATAAATTTTGTTTCTGGCTGTGGCAGCTAGATGTGTAACATTTGAGTAGTCATGTGGGGTGTGCGTGTGAACACACATGCATGTATTTGAAAGGGGGAAAAATACGGTTTTTTATCTAGTCATTAACTTTGCCTATTTTAATTTATTCTGAATTGCTGCCTGAAGTCAGATGCCTCCATTGTGATTTGCTGTTAAACTAGAACTTCTGCAGTCTTCTCTGTGGGTAATTCAGTCTCTTATAACCTAGACTGTATCTAAGAGCTCCTGTGACTTTTCCCTATATAAATCAGGAAAACAAATTATTGCTCAATATTGAATGGTTAAAATGATATACTACTTGACCAAACGGAATGAGTTGCTTTTCCACTTAAGAGTTTCCTTTTTTCTGGGAGTTTGGTATAACTAATATCTTAAAATATACCAAACTCTGTTGTAAGCTCTTACTCACTCGTTTAAACCTGACAATATCTCTGTGAGGGAGTTACTATATTTATTTTATATTTTAAAGATGAGAAAGCAGGCACAGAGAGATGAAGTTACCTGACCAGGGTCACATAGCTTAAATGGCAGTTCTAGGATTCAAATGCAGGCAGTTGGGCTCCGAGTTCTGTACTATTAACGTCTCTGTTACTATTCTTTATTTTCTATACTTTTTAATAATTGCTTTAGACTTGTTGTCAGTTGCTGTTTAGTCTCCTCTGAGTCATGGCAATGCTCTATATAACAGAATGAAACACTGCCCGATCCTGCACCATCTACATGATGTTCGAGTCCATTGTTGTGGATACTGTGTCAGTCCATCTCACTGAGGACTTCCCTCATTTTTGCTGTCCCTCTTCTTTACCAAACATGATGTCCTTTTACAGCGATTATTTTTTCCCCATGAAATGTCCAAAGAAAGCAAGTCAAAGTATTGCCATCCTCACTTCTGAGGAACATTCTGGTTGTATTTCTTTTAAGACTGATTTATTCATTCTTTTAACAGTCCAGTATGTTCAGTATTCTTCACCAACACCTTAGTTCAAATGTATCAGTTCTTCTTCTTTCTTTTCTTATTATCCAACTTCTGCATGCTTGTGAGGTGATTGAAAAGACCATGGCTTGGGTTAGGTGCACTTTAGTCATCAAAGTGACATCTCTGCTTTTTAAAACTTTTCAGAGGTCTTTAGCAGCAGATTTGTCCAGTGCAATATGTCGTTTGATTTGACCGCTGCTACCATGGACATTGATGGTTGATCCAAGTAGAATGAAATTGTTGGCAGCTTCAGTTTCTTCTCCATTTATCATAATGTCGTTTATCAGTCCAGTTGTGAGGGTTTTGTTTTTTTCACATTCAGGTGTAATCCATACTGAAGGCTGTATAATTTTTGACCTTCATCAGTAAGTGCTTCAAGTTGTCTTCCTTTTCAGCATATTGCAAGTTGTTAATGAGTCTTCCTCCAATCCTGGTGCTGAGTTCTTCATATAGTCAGACTTCTCAGATGATTTGTTCAGCATACAGATTGAATAAGTATGGTGAAAGGATATAACCCTGCTGCATGCCTTTTCCAGTTTTGAACCATGCATTATCCCCTTGTTCTTTTATAACAGCTGCCTCTTGATCCATGTACAGGTTCCGCACGACCACAATTAAGTGTTTTGGAATTCCCTTTCTTCACAAGCTTAGACTTAGATAGCTTTATAAAAGACTAGAAAAGGATGAACTACTATGTTTAATTATCTTTGGATGATAGGATTATGGGTGGCTTAAATTTTGTCTATTTTCCATATTTTATAAAATGAGCATGTATCTATATAATCAGGGACCTGAAATCATTTAGGTTCACAGAATTGTTGGTGTTATTAGGTGCCATTGAGTTGATTTTTCACTAACAGCAACCCATTGTGACAACAGAACTGCCTTCATAGGGTTTTTTAGGCTGTAGAACAGCCAGCCTTTTGGTTAGAATCCCAGCACTTTACCTATAGAGCTAAAATGGTCCAAACCCCTCAGATGAATAAACTGTAGCCTAGTAACATTAACATTAAAATACTTTTTGTTTAAAGCTTCCTCTTTTAGAGCTCTTCTTTTCTCTTTTTCTTTTCGCCTCCATCCTTCACTCAGTATTTTTAAACCAAGCAACACATTCTCAAATGTAGCTGTTAAGAGTACGAATTGACTTGTTTTTAGAGGGTAATTTGGTAATATATGTCAAAAGTCTTGGACTTCACAGTTTTTTCTGCTTGCAGGATTTTTTTCCTGGTGAAATAATTAGAAAGATTTAGCTGCAAGTATCTTTATTCTTTAAAAAAAAAAAAAAGCTGGAAATAACCTAAATTCCCAGTAATAGGGATTAAACTGTATACTAGTAAAATGACATACTTTTATTTTAATCATCAATAAAAATGATGTAGGAGATGAATATTTAATGACATGAGAATGTTTTAAAACTATTTGTTATATTACACAGTAGTATATTCCTTCAGAGTAGGGGAAACCAACAATTTCAACACAGAGATTGTTTGATAAGATATGGCAGCTCACTACTTCCAGGCCTGTTAAAGTTAGTTTACCCCAATGAAGTTACGGTTATTTTCTTTTATTTATTTTTATTGTACTTTAGGTGAAGGTTTACAGAACAAATAGTTTCTCATTAAACAGTCAGTACACATATTATTTTATATGACATTGGTTAACAACCCCACGACATGTCAACACTCCCTTCTCAACCTTGAAGGACTTTTTTTTTTTTTTTGGTGAAAATATACATAGCCAAAGATACACCGTTTCAGAAATTTCTACATGTACAATGTAGTGACATCGATTACATTCTTCCAGTTGTGCTATTGTTCTCACTATCTTTTTCCAAATTATTCCATCATAGTTATTTTCAATTATCTTTTTAATTTTATTCTTCAAAAGCAGCTTTCACCTTAAAAAAAAAAAGACAATATTATTTCTCAAGTAGTATTTTAATCATAGGGCAGTTACCTTGGAAGTAACTTGATTATCAGAGTACTTTCTAAAGTTAATTGACTATTCTAAAATTTGAGTGTTGAATTGTATCAAGGTATTATCTTTTTTAAAACTGTATTTTTTTCCCTGATTTAAAAGAAACTCATGTTTTACTCTTATGGCAAAAGGAAGATACAAAGCTCTGCTTATTTTGAGGTGAACATCAGACATTATTCCTTTTATTTTTTAATGCTTGCTTTTTAAGATTCAGTTTCTAGGGTTCCTGTAAGTCTCAATAAAGCAAAACAGTCAGTGGATAGGGGCATAGAGGCAAACGAGCGAATGTGGTGAGAAGAGCTAGTCATTTTTTTTTTTTTCTTTTTTTTTTTCAGTAAGAACTGCTTCTTTTTGCTGTGTTTTTATCTTTTTTGGTCTCTAGTTCATGGGGGTGGCATGTTGTTTTTAAGGTCTTTCAGTAGCAGATTGCTCCCTTCATGTTTGGGGTGACTGATTTATAGAGTCCTGGTTGATTTTTTTTTTTTTTTACCAGTCCAGGTCTGGTTAAGTCTTGTGAAGTTTTAGCCTATGACTTAACTGAATTGATTGTTATTCCGTATTAAAATAGTCTTCAAGATATCAAGAACGAAACATTCGAGAACACGTGAATTACGTTTTGTTTTAGATTGTTTCTCTTTTTTCTTACAGATAGCACAACAATAGAAAAACTAAGAGCTGTTTGTTTAGACCACGCAAAACTTGGAGAGAGCAGCCTTAGCCCATCTCTTGACTCACTTTTCTTTGGCCCTTCAGCCTCGCAAGTGCTATACTTAACAGAGGTTGGTTTTTTCCTTTTGAGTTTACTGAATGTTTTTAAATTTGACTTCTTTATATGAAAATGTGAAGAACATGGATAAGATTATAATGCAATATTTTTAGATGGTCGAGCACTTCTTAGCAATGCTGTTAGGGGAAATAGAAGTTTTTGAATTATTTCAAAAACCTTTTAATGCAGTCTTTGCCCCTTTTTTCCCCTAGGTAGTCTATGCCTTGTTAATGCCTGCTGGTGCACCTCTGGCTGATGATTCCTCTGACTTTCAATTTCACTTCTTGAAAAGTGGTGGCCTACCTCTTGTCCTGAGTATGCTAACAAGAAACAACTTCCTACCAAATGCAGATATGGAAACTCGAAGGGGTGCCTACCTCAATGCTCTTAAAATAGCCAAACTGTTGCTAACTGCCATTGGCTATGGCCATGTTCGGGCTGTGGCAGAAGCTTGTCAGCCAGGTGTGGAAGGCGTGAGTTCCATGACATCGGTAATACTAAATTTAAAAAAAAATCTTTTTGTATTGGTAGATAGTAATTTTTAAACTTTTCAGCAACTCTTTTAAGTATATAGTGTTCAAGGTCGATTCAAAATGTTTAAACTTCCTTTCCAGTGGCACCTCGTTTTAGAGGTTTTCTTTTATTAAATTATTAGTGATCTTAAAAGTTCAAATGCTTTTTACTGACTACTGATTTGAGGGGGCAGTTCCTCCTTGCCTCCTTTAGTCCTGTTTGACTTTCAGTTATTTTAAGCCTAACGAAAACCCCATATGAATCTCTTGTTAACTCCTACTGGGCAAGTATATAAACACACAGATGGTAATAAAAGAGATTTGATTGATTTAGCCTGTTGCCAGCCTCCCTTCCTGCCACTGGCTTGACCTCTGGTTCTGAGCTTATTCTGACTCTCTCTCTGACTTGGTATCATCCTTGATCCACATCGCCAAAAGTTCTGAAGACATACTGGAATTCAGTGCCTATTTAGGAGAGGCCAAACTATGCATTTAATTCTAACGAATGTTTGAGTTCTTTTATATGCATCATAAGTGATGATTTTACTAATTTACTGGTAGGAGATGAAGTTACACGGATACGGATACAAATACCCTTCTTTAGAAATGGCTTAGGTATTAATCAGAGAGATTGAAATATTGATTCTATATGTGATATTATGAAATGTTCATTATTTTAGGTATGATAATGATATTGTGGTTATATTTAAAAGAAGGTCCTTGTATTATAGAAATAATTGCTGAAATATTTATAGATAAAATTCTGTGATATCCAGAATTTGCTTCAAAATAATGCTAGTGTGGAGAGAGAGATGGAAAATGGGAGAAAAGTGTTAGATAAAACAGTTTTGGTCCTTTGTTGGTAATTGTTGAATCTAGGTAACGGGTACATGGGAGTTTGTTACACGATTACTTCTACTTTCATGTATGTTAGAAATTTTACATTAAAAAAGGGTATAAATACAAATAAGATAATCATGTATTCCCTTAAAAACCTGGTGGTTTTTTCATGCAAATAAGGAATATAAATTTATAAAACTCTACCCTCATTCCTCAAGCAAGCTTTGTTGTATTGTATTGTTTGTTCTATGTTTGTTAGGGTAAAGTGTTTCTTACTGGTTAAAAAAAGAGGTTTTTGTCAGGATAAAAACAGGTTCTTGTTATGATGCCTAATCCGGTGCCAAAAACCAAACCCGTTGCCATCAAGTGGATTCTGACTTATGGTGAACCCCACATATTCCAGAGTAGAACTGCACTCCATAAGATTTTCAGTGGTTGTAATCTTACATACATCACCAGGCCTTTCTTCCGTGGTGCTGCTGGGTGGACTTGAACTGCCAACCTTTTGGTTAGTAGCCGCGCATAAACAGTTTTGCCACCAGGGACCTGTGATCCCTAATACAGAGGCTTAATGAAGTAAACAGAAAACAATTACGGTTCCCTTTTTACCTTTTCTCTGATATTTATAAATGTGCCACTATAGATGCTAAGGTACATAATAGCCTCCTATCTCAAAGAGTTCACAGTCATTAGGGAGCTAAATGCAAAATCAGTAAAATAGACATGTCTTAAATACTATTGTAGTAATACAGTATATAGAAGGGGAGTTATGACAACACAGAATTGCTTGGCTTAGTGACTAAATAAAAGTCTGTCTTTTGTCATGGATTTAAAATCTTATACTATTAAGTAAAGTATTGTTAGTACTTTTAATATTCCTTAATTTTTCTCCTTTTCAAAGAAGTATTTGACGACAAGGGGGGAATGTGGGCAGCGCCTGCCTCGGAGCACCCGTATAAAAGACGTGGCAGAACTTTCCCAAGTATCTAGATGAGGGTGGAACTAGTCTGTTGTATCATTTGTCCCCTGCAAGTTAATCTGAGCCCAGATTTAGAAACACACATTGACTTCATCTAGAATGGGGGTTTGCAGAGGGATATGTGGCACTTCAAAGCACAAGAAAGAGAGGAAGCCCACATTGTTGACAATGTGAAGTACTTTTTGTCTTAAATCACCATGGGTTCTACAGTGGATATATATGTAAGGAGGTCATCCTGAGGGAGTGGTGATGGATGAGGAGCAAATGGTTGAGTTCTGGTTATGTACAAATTATTTACTCCAAGTAAAATGGTTAACTGTTTTCAGGTCAACCAAGTTACTCATGATCAAGCAGTGGTGCTACAAAGTGCCCTTCAGAGTATTCCTAATCCATCATCTGAGTGCATGCTTAGAAATGTGTCCATTCGTCTTGCTCAGCAGATATCTGATGAGGTTAGTATTAAACTTCTAAAGCTCTGAGATCCTGGCTGGTTCATTTCTTTCTACTTTTGACCCTCTGTGAATTGAGAAAAATAGCCTTTATCACAATTTGAGGCTTAATTTTCCTAGCCCCACTCACTTTAATCACTATTTCAGTTTAGTTAAAGTTTTCTCAACATGAATTTTACCTATTAACATTAGTACTTTGTTTTTAATCCACTTAATTGAAGTGTAATTTATGTACAATAAGTAGCATCCTTATAAAGCACACATAGTTCAGTGAGTTTTGACAGATACGTTTACTAGTGAAACCACTGCCACAATCAAGATACAGAACATTTCCATCGCTCTTTTCTTATGCTGCTTTCAACTGCATCCTTCTCTCTACCCCTGGCTGCAGGCAACCACTAATCTTTTGTCACTATATAGTAGTTTTTGTTTTTTAGAATTTCATATAAATGCAATCATACAGTCTATTTACTGTTGTGTCTGGCTTCTTTAACTCAGAACAGTTCTGAGGTTTATCTCTGTTGTGTTTATCAGTAGTTCCTTTTTATTGCAGAGTTGTATTCCATTATGAATATTACAAATTTTGTTTATCCGTATACTTGGTGAAGGACACTTGGATTGTTTGGCTGTGAATAAAGTTGCTGTGCACATTCTGTACAAGTGTTTGTGTGAATATAGGTTTTCGTTTCTCTTGAATAAAAAACTAGAAGTGAAATGTTTAGATCATTTTTGTAGTCTTTTTAAGATTTCTTACGGATATAGTACAGGGCCAGATAATAACTTGGAGAACATACGTTGTGGTATTGCTGTTTAAACAAAAAAAAGGGACAAAGGCAACTTGGGAACCTAAATATATAATAGTGCTTATTTATGATCATTCCTATTTCTTTTACAAGGAGAAACATTTTTGTTTTTCTAGGGATTATTTCACTTTAATATCCTATCAGCAGTATTAATTACTTATTATTTTGCAGGCTTCAAGGTATATGCCTGATATTTGTGTAATAAGAGCTATACAGAAAATTATCTGGGCATCAGGATGTGGGGCATTACAGCTAGTATTTAGCCCAAATGAAGAAATCACTAAAATTTATGAGAAGGTAAGAATTATTACAAAAATATGTTCCTTTTGAATAAATGTTGCTTAATTGTGCATGTGACTAAATTTTTATTATGTCTCCTATCTTTAAAAATCCAATCACTTGTATCTTAATGGATGAAAATGAACTGGTAACTATAGTTAAGATTTGAATATAGTAACATTTTACTTTGAAACTGAAGTACTTCAAAATCCTTCCATGAGCCTGCCTTTTTAATGAAACTGCCTTTTCTTCTTCTCACTGGGGCCAGATGTAATCGTCTCATATGCAGTTTGTTTTCTTCCATTACTTTGAGTTTATAGAGTCTTTTCTGGCTTAGTAGAGCTTCTCTTGTATGGCCAACATACCCTTGAGTTGCCCCTCGATAATATATTGATGTCCCACAGTATCTGTGGGTATGGTACTGGTATTCATTCAGCAAATATTTGAATGGCTATTCTTTTTCAGGCGTGTGCTGTAATTATTACTTTTGATGAATATATAGTAAGATTAGAATTTATCAGCTGCCTACCCAAATTATATTTTAGGTTGTAAAAGTCTTTCCAAACCTTCCTGAACAATTATTCAAAACAGTTGCTTTTGAATAAAATGGCACTGTAGATAAGCTACATAATAGAACTAGTTAAAAATACTTAACTGCATTGCTAGAGTGGTTCATGAGAAAGGAGTGATTGTTGATGCAGGGTAAAGAAATCAGAAGGTCTCTAGGAGCCTGAGGGATGGAGAAGCTGGTGGTATGCTCAGTATGGTCTTTCAGTCCTTGGGACATAGCAAAACACCAGAATTAGACTTCATTTTCTATAATAGTTGTTTTCAGACTATTTTGAAAGCTGCTCAAGAGTTACAGGTGAAGAGACTGAGGCCATATGGTTTAAGTGAGTAGGTAAGTTTTAAGTGCTAATTAAAAGTTGTGCGAGATTTTTCTTAAATGCATCTCTAGGTAATTTGATCCTGATTATAATTTTACAGACCAATGCAGGCAATGAGCCAGACTTGGAAGATGAACAGGTTTGCTGTGAAGCATTGGAAGTGATGACGTTATGTTTTGCCTTGATTCCGACAGCCTTAGATGCACTTAGTAAAGAAAAAGCTTGGCAAACATTCATTATTGACTTACTATTGCACTGTCACAGCAAGTAAGTGTCTTTTTTTAATTCTAAGAAACTTTTATTTTTGTAAGCAGAAATGAATTAATTCATTCTTACCAAATTTATTGCAGAAATCAAATATTTGGTGGTGCAGTGGTTAAACCACTTGGCTGCTAACCAAAAGGTCGACGGTTTGAACCCACCATCTGCTCTACAGGAGAAAGATGTGGCAGTCTGCCTTTGTAACGGTTACAGCCTTGGAAATCCTATGGAGCAGTTCTACCCTGTCCTGTAGGGTTACTCTTGAGTTGGAATCACTTGATGGCAGTGGGTTTTTTGGTATAGCACCTTGGTGTTCAGGAAATTTTTTTTTAACTATGTTTTGCTTAGATCTAAATTTGTTTGATATTAGTCTCTGCAAAATGCCAACATTAACTCTTAAAGCACTAATTAATTTTTTCTAATTTCAGAATTCAGATTCCCTTAGGAGGCATATATTTTAGTCCAGTTTTTGATGTGGTTTAAAATTTCTAAGTTTTTAAATTAAAAAAAAAAAAAAAAATCCCTCCTATCTTGGCTTCCTAGGTATCAGGTTTTGTTTTGTTTTTTTTAAGTGAAGCTGTTAATTCTATGAAATTTATGAGGCAGGGTTATTGTAAGAACTTTCGTAGTTTACACTGAGATTAAAGACTTTTTTACGTCAAGAGTATTTAGTCACGATGGAATAATTTGGAAGAGGATAGTGAGAATAGCAGCACAACTGGAAAAACATAATCGATGTCACTGAATTGTACATGAAGAAATTTTTGAAATGATGTATCTTTGGCTATATGTATTTCCACCAAAAAAGAAAAAAGGTCCTCCAAGGTCGAGAAGGGAGAGTATTGACATGTTGTGGGTTTGTTAACCAATGTCATAAAATATGCGTGTACTGACTGTGTAATGAGAAACTATTTTGTAAACCTTCACCTAAAATACAACAAAAATAAATAAATAAAAAGAGTATTTAGTCAGTGATAGTAATTTTGTTTCAGGCTTCACTTTATTTTTTATTTTATTATTGTAGTTTAAGTGAAAGTTAACCTTTTTTAAAAAAATTTATTTATTATTGTAGTTTAAGTGAAAGTTTCCAATTCAAGTTAGTTTCTCGTATAAAAATTTATACATACCTTGTTGTGTGACCCTAATTGCTCTCCCTATACTGTGACAGCACACTCCTCCTTTCCACCCGATTTCCCATGTCCATTCAACCACAGGCTTCACTTTTTATGCAAGTCGAACATAGATTTGTAGAAAATGTTGCATTCCAACCTTTTATGTCAGTCTAATCCTGACCTTCGTATATAAGGTAACTTTTTTAACTTGAGCTCTAATTAGTGTCACTGTTATATACAATTAATCTGTCTTACATACATTTTGTGAAAAGGCACAGAAAATGTTCAGTTTGCTTACCGTTCCATCACATGCCACTCAACAATGACAAAACTTCGATGAGTGAAAGGTTAATATAAAGTCGAAATCAGCACTTTGCTGAAATGAAGCTTAGTGATAAAGCTGAAAATATAATGTACATGATCTAATGAAGTAGGTTCAACTCACCCACCCCAAAGGATGGTCTAAAGTGATTGAGTGTAGGCTTCAAATAGTAATGTCTACTCTTTTAAGAAGTTCCTTAGGTAATTTTCTTGAAGCCATCTAGTGTACTCTGTTCAGAAACTCTTTTTAACAGGATCCTCATGAATCACGTTGCCCTTGCTACCTCCTTGAGAAGACTTTATCGTCATTGGACAACTCTGCACTATTAAAAAAGATAAATTGGTTGAGTATGTCCTATTCCATTTCATAATACGTTGGGTGGGGGATAAGAGGAAAGACAATTAGGCAAGAATTAGAATGAAGTCAGACTTGGAGGTAGCAGATTTCTTATACTGTGTTGAATCTTTTAAATCTTAAACTAAATTAGGAACTTGTTTCATATCTTTGGCTAGTAAGAATTAAGGAACTTGGTTTTTAACAGGTTTTCTGCCTGTACCCTTTATGAAATTTCCCTTGCACACAATGAGATAAAGTACTTTTAAAAGCACTTCATCTCATTAAGCTTCTTTTATCTTGTCTGCAGCAATAAAGGGGATATTCTAAGGTTTAAGGTCTTTTTAGTATTTGGTTTTTATGGCTCTGGCATCATTCTCCAGTTCTAGGCTTCCCACCCCCACCCCCACCCCCACCCCCTACCCCACCACAGTTCATTCTGTAAATGTCTGAGTACTTAACTGCAGGTTCAAAATTCTTTATCTCCAGTTAGTAATAATTTGACAGCAAACCTGGCCTGAACTCATTTCTTGGCGAAACCTGATCTGAACGAGGCATTACCGTTCTGAAATCGGAATCCCCAAACACATCTGGTCTCAAGGGTTCCAGATGAGGAATGGTGCACCTGCATACATGAGGTTGACCTTCAGGTGGAGTTTATACTTGAATAATCATATTAATAAGCAACATAGCTGTTTATAAAACATTTCCCACATATATTTTCTCACTTAACTTGCACAGCAACTCTGAAGTAGAGTACACGACATGGTTAGGTCCCAAAGACTGGGTCATTATGTGAAAATCGGTGGTACAGAAAAATGAAGGATAACTACATTATTACGTAACTGCCAGATTACATCACCACATAACTGCCAAACCACTGAGAATCATGGCCCAGCCAAGCTGACACATAACCTTAACCATCACAGCCAGCGTTACTCTCTCCTCGCACTTGGGCATTTGTTACTACCAGACATACATTGTTATTGCACAAAATAGTTAGTAGGTTTTTTACTGTTGTCACAAATTCAAAACGCCAGATGATGAGATAGTAGGTGAGGAGAGGTGTATGAGAGTCATGCTTTGTGGATGGGGAAACTAAGACTGAGATTAAATGACAAGGTCATACCAATGCCAAAGCCAAGACTTAAAACAAGGTTTTCTACCTCTTGAGTTCTTAACTTAAATTTCTGCCACACAGCTTGACTCTGTGTAATTAAAATTCATCAGCAAATATGAATCCCTACTATGAGCCCTGGTGGTGCAGTGGTTAAAGCGCTAGACTGCTAACCGAACGGTTGGTGGTTTGAACCCATTAGCTGCATCGTGGGACAAAAGACCTGGTGAGCTGCCCCCATTAAGATTATAGTCTAGAAAACCGTATGGGACAGTTCTACTGTGTCATATAGGGTCATTGTGAGTTGGAGTCGACTCGACACCAACTAACAACAGCCACAACAGGGCAGCTGGAGTGATAAATACCTTTGAAAATCTGATAAAAATTAACGAATCTTCTTCCCAGAATACTAGGTACATAAGTGAAAATGTTTAGATTTTTTTTAAAGGAGGTTTGTGAAATCCATCCATGGGTCGTATAAATCATAGGGACTTAGAAGCCCTGTGTTTTGTGGGTCTGAGTTTGGGAGAATCCAAGTAAATTGAAGTCAGGAGTTCTTTATTTAACCCACCATTTATTATTAAAATTAATCACAATTTTTTTTTCTGCAAAACGTTCATCTAGAAGAATGAAACCTTCAGACAATCCTCTTTACTACTCGTAGTGAACTGTAAGAGGAAGAGAACTGGGTCTTTGATCTTCGGGAACTAGACTACCTGTTCATTTTAGGGCTACAAAAATGTTTCAGTCTCTGAAAGACACACTTGATAAATAAGCATGCATCTACACACAAACACACACAACCTCCATTCATGCTGTTAACTTTAGAGTGGTTTTTCTTTAAATTTGTCTTTTCATAAGTTAGTACATGAAAGTTGCTAATGATTTTCTAGCCATCTGTGCAAAGGAAAACCAAGTTTTTTAAGATGATGGTTGGTGGAAATTTTGTTGTTACTTAAGTTTTGATTAGTACTGGTTTCCTAGGACTGCTGTAACAAAGTACCACAAACTTAGTGGCTTAAAACAGCAGACATTTCTTCTTTCACAGTTTTAGTGCTCTCTGATGGCTGTAGGAAAGAATCCTGCCTTTCCTTTTGCTAGCTTCTGATGGTTGCCAGCAGTGCTTGGCGTTCTTGGTTTGTGGACACATCACTCCAATCTCTGCTCCCTCTTCACATGGTGTTCCTCCCCTAGGTGTGATAGAAGTTACTTGACTATTAATGTTACTCAACAAATAACTTGTATCATTTGAGAAGAATATTTGAAAGGAAATTTGTAAGGGGTTTTATTTATGCCCTGCCTTGTTCCAAGAAGGATCAAAACTGTATATAAGACACTAAGAGAAAATGACATTAATGAGTGAGGAAATTGGAATAATGGGAAAATTAAAAGTGAAAGTAAAGCCAGGAGGGAGGTTAGTACACAGAAATGTGTTATAATGTCCTTTACACAAGAAGTATAAATCTGGTCCTGAGCACTCTGACAGCTAGCGCAATGACAGAGACATGGTGGCCATCCACGAAATGTAGTTGGTGGTGTCTATAAAATGGGCAGATGCTTAGTCAGGAGGTACTTGCTGAGTATCTTCAGGTGCTGTTCCAGGAAGTCTGTCATCAAAAAAGCAAAGCCCCTGCTCTGAGAGAACTTACTTCCCAATGGAGACAGACAGACAACTATTTTGTAACAAATAGTGTTTATACGTTTGGTAACTGTTTCTTGAACACCTACTTTCTGCCAGATACTGTTCTGGGTTCTGGAGGCACAGCAGTAAACAAAATGGATGATAGCTCTGTCCTCTTAAGAGTATTGATTCTAGTGAGGTCTATGTATTATACAATAATATTTATTTTAAAGATACATCCATAATGATCAGATAAAGTTTCTAATACTGAGACTAGTTTTTCCCATGGGTCTTCATAGAATATTGTATACTACAGTAGTTCTCAGTCTTCATTGCACATCAGAATCACCTGGAGGGTTTGTTAAAACACAGATTGCTGGTAGAGACAAAAGTTTATTAGTGGTTACCAGGGGCTCTGGGGGAAGAGAGGAATGACGAAGTTGGTGCTTAAGGGGTACTGAGTTTCTCTTTGGGGTGATAGAAAACTTTTGGAAATGGATCGTGGTGATGGTTGCATAAAATGGTAAATTTAATGTCACTGAATTATACACTGTAAAATGGTAAAGTTTTTGTTATGTATCTAATTACAGTAAAATTGAAAAAGATAGACCCACCCTGCTCCCAGTATTTCTGATTCAGTAAGTCTGGAATGCCTGAAAATTAGCATTTCTAACAAGTTCCCAGATGCTGCTGATGCCACTGATCTGTGGACCACACTTTGGGAACCAATGGTGTAATGTAAGGGACAATTGCAATAATTTCCTTATTGTAATTGCAGTAGAATTCCACAGAGGTATTTGTTCCAAAGCACAATTGAATAAAAACTGTAGAAGGTCAAAAAGATATGGCTTACTGCATGAGCATCTTGTAGTGTGTCTAGAAGAACATTTCCAGCCTGTTCTGAGAGAGAGGTATTAGAAGATATCCCACAAAAAAAACTACAGGCTTGCATTCTATTTACCTATCCCAGCCCTTGGAACGGTCCAGCCCCACCCCTAATTCACAGGGCATGTTAAAGTAGTCAGATGGTAAGAAAGATTAACGCAGAAATTCTCGGAACTCTTAAGTGACGATTTGAAGTTAAACTCCTTGACACACAGGGTAAGTTTATTATGTGTTGATGGCTTGAGTGCTTAAGGGAGGTTACCTTGTATTATACTATTTATTTACTTCCTTGTTGCCCCCCTCCCCCCGCTCCCCATAGAGAGATACAAGTGTTAGAATCTTTCTCTATGAAAATGATAAATGTTAAACATTTCTATTTCAGAACTGTTCGTCAGGTGGCGCAGGAGCAGTTCTTTTTAATGTGCACAAGATGTTGCATGGGACACAGGCCTCTGCTTTTCTTCATTACTCTCCTCTTTACGGTTTTGGGGGTAAGATATTTTTTAATATGCTTATCAATGTATTTCATTCTTTAAACGAGCAACATTCAGGAATTTATGATTTTAGCTTGCTTTAAAATTAGGTCAGTCCATATTTAATAAAATATTGGTAATTTTCCGTACTATTTTATTCACCTGCTCTAGCTAACTCTGGGTTTTTATGGAATGGATTCTGAACATGGACATGTATATTAATATTATTCCATTTTTATTGTTTTAGAGCACAGCCAGAGAGAGAGCTAAACATTCAGGCGACTACTTCACTCTTTTAAGGCACCTTCTTAATTATGCTTACAATAGTAATATTAATGTGCCCAATGCCGAAGTTCTTCTCAATAATGAAATTGATTGGCTTAAAAGAATTAGGGTAAGTTGAAGTTAATACTATGTTTATCATGTCGCTTTTTATAGTGTTTTATTAATAAATGATTTATAGTTTTGAACATTTTGTAGTTAAAGGACCGAAGAGTATACTCTGCATTGGTAGATATTAGTAACTCAGAATTCATAGAACAAATGCATAACTAGTTTTGTTAAAGTACTTTACTTGAGACTTGGAACACTGATGTTCAGCCTCTCCATTTCAGTATTTTGGGACTTTTTGCAAATTCTCATCTTTTTAAAAAAAAAATTATTGAATCGTTTCCATAAAAAATGAGTCTGATAGACTATCACTTAAATTTAATTTTTGATCCTAATTCCTAATACTTATTAGGCAGAGTTGCACGAGAATTTATTTCTGATAAGATTTACAGCTTTTAGCCTTCAGATTAGCATTTCTTCCAGTAGTTTGTAAAGCCTACTTCTAGAGAGTTCTCAAGAAAAAATAAACTTGATTGAATGGAAGGGTTTGGGGGGGGGATTACCTCTGAGATTTCACTTCTCTTCAGTTCTCTTTTTCTTGCATTTCTCTCCCCCCCACCTTCCTTTCATAAGTTAGGCATTTGATATTTTTTCCTTTGGCAGGATGATGTTAAAAGAACAAGTGAAACAGGTGTTGAAGAGACGATCCTTGAAGGCCACCTTGGTGTGACAAAAGAGTTATTGGCCTTCCAAACTCCTGAGAAAAAATACCATATTGGTTGTGAAAAAGGAGGTGCTAATCTCATTAAAGTAAGTTCTAAGTGTTCATTAGCAAATCTGATTAATCTGTAGTATCATGTCTTTAATGTGTTATCTTGACCTTTTCTTTTTTGTACTGTTTAAAAATCTTTATAGAGGTTACAGTAATTTTAAAAGTATAAGTATGCCTTAATTTATTTAACAGATGTTTATAAGTTTTGTATATAAGTAAAATTTCAGCATAAAGCATTTTATAAAGTAAATAAACAATTTTTCTATTTAGAAAATACTAATTTTTCACTTTATCAGACTATTTAAAATGATGCAAACCTCTGTTTTCCAAGACCATTCGTTTGTATGTTTCTTTAATGAGTTTCTTCACATGTGTGGCAACTCAAGGAAACAAAAAGTATCATAAAGGAGTAAATTTACTTAGAATATAATTTTCCTTACATACTACAGTTTAACTCTTTAATACAACTCTTTAATACTCAAAAAATATTTTAACCTGGCAATTTGAGTGTACCTACTAGTTATTGTAAATAGTGTTTTGGAGTGGTATCTTTTTATTAGAAAATCATTTTCTGAGATCTAATGAAATCTTGAATTCTGACAAATAATTTTAAATTTCCTTTGAAGAGATGTTTTTTATTTCTTAATATATATGTCATTGCTAATATGTGATCCTTTCTTTCAATTCTTTAGGAATTAATTGATGATTTCATATTTCCTGCATCCAATGTTTACCTGCAGTATATGAGAAATGGAGAACTGCCAGCTGAACAGGCTATTCCAGTCTGTAGTTCACCAGCTACCATTAATGCTGGTTTTGAGTTACTGGTAGCGTTAGCTGTTGGCTGTGTGAGGAATCTCAAACAGATAGTAGACTCTTTAACTGAAATGTATTACATTGGCACAGCAATAACTAGTAAGTATTTTAAATTATAACGTTTTTGGTGATTGGAAATAATTCTCGTTTCAAATTCTATTTTTATTTTTAAGTAAACATCTTCAACTTACATTTTTATTTTCTTTCAGCAACTAATTTAACATTTTTAGCAAATGAGTGTGTAATTAAGACTATTATAAGCAGAGAGCCTTAATATAGAATATTTTTTAATTTGTTCATTTCTCATAAATGCCTTCCTGTAAGTAGTGCAGATATTTGGCAAAGTAAGTTTCATTACATCTGAATAAAAGCCCAGACCCCAGAGTAATAAGTAGCCAAAATAGGTGCAGCGAAGTTCAAACTTAAAACTCAAATTGTATGTACTGCAGAACCTTCCAGGCCCTCACTTAGAAGCTCTTTAATATTATTTTCATCTGGGCTCTAAGAAGAATCTGGTTTTGAAGATTAGAGTATGAGAAGATAACATTTTAGTGCACTTTATGTTCTCAGGTAGTGCCCCCATCAAACCCGTGAAATAGGCTTTAGTCTCCAGATCTTACAGATGAGGAACTCTAAAGCTCAGAAGGGGTGGGGGAATATAAAATATCAGAAGAAGCAGAAGTAGGCACAACTGAGACTGTTTTAAGAGAAGACTGTCTACAAAGCTTAAGGATATAATTGGTTAGTAAATTTTTAAAACGTGAAATTATGTTTAGGTATGTTGTATATCAGAATATAAAGTTTTAAGTAACATTTTAGGAGTTTTCAATTAAATTGACTGCTTTTAAAAGGTTAGGCCTTTCGTTACTTATCCTGTTAATTCTACATATAATGAGAAGATTTGGTGGTATATGTTCGTTTGTTTTTTTTTAACTTCGTGGGATTTGTTTGGGTTGTTTTTAAGTAGTGCATTTGCTTGGTAAAATTTTCAAGTGCTGAAGAAGGTATATACTAGGAAGTAGGCTTCCTGCCCATTCCAGATTCCTAGCCCACTTTCACAGCAGCAACAATTACCATTTCATGTTTATCCTTTTGTATGCCACATCTACGTGGATATAGAAGTAGTCCCTGACTTAACGACACATTTGAGTTACAACAATGACCATCTTTTTTTGTTGGTACATCTTATTGTTAGTAATATGTACTACATACAATGTTAAAATATACCTGTAAGTTTATATGTAATGTTCTAACCCCCAAGTACAAATAAAGATCAGATTTATAAAGATACTGAAATGATTAAAAACCAAACCCACTGCCATTGAGTCCATTCTGACTCATAGTGACCCTGTAAGACAGAGTTGAACTGCCTCATAGGGTTTCCAAGGCCATAAAGCTCTACAGAAGCAGACTGCCACATCTTGGTCCCACGGAGCAGCTGGTGTGTTTGAACTGCTGCCCTTTCGGTTAGTAGCCAAGCACTTTAACCACGGTGCCATCAGGGCCACCTGTATTGATAATAAAAGGCAATAATAATGAAAACTTTAAAAAAAAAAAAAAATTTGACTTCTGTCAGAGCAGACTTACAACGGAGTCGTTGGAACTGAACCTCGTAAGTTGGGGATTTAACTGTATGCCTAGATAGTGTTGTTTCCAGTTTTATACTAGGTGGAAGGAGACGTACAGTAACTTGCAATTTTCACAGCATTTTCAAATCTGCTATCTCATTGGCTCTTCAAAATAACACTGGATATAGGCAAAGTAAGTGTTTATTAGTATTATTGCATTTACTAGGAAGGAAACGGGCTCACCTGAAAACAAAAGAGTTGGTAAGTGTCAGAACCAGAACATGAACGCATGGTCTAAGGATTATCTAAAACAGAGCAAAGTGTTAATGTGTTGATGTGACATTTCATGTCATACTTAATTTGAAGGCACTTTAAAAATATACAAAAGTATAAAGAATTAAAGTTAATAATGACTAAACAATAAGGCTGAAACTAAAATTAGCATGCAGAAATTAGCATTGTGACGTCTTTTATGAGTGCTTCTAAGTAAAAGCAACATAGAAGCACATCAGGAAAAAAACATGAGTTCATAGGTGGTGGGGTAAGAATCTGTTCAGTGGTATATGTTGCTGTATATCTTAGATTTGTTGAGAGTGAAATGAAAACTTACAGCACTACTTCAAGGTAGCTGTAGTGATGGTGGAATTGTTGCTAATGTTAATTTGTCAGCTTAGTAGAGCTACAGGTGGACAGAATGATTGTGTTCATGGTATGAAAATCTTTTATCTTCTTCTCGTAGCTTGTGAAGCACTTACTGAGTGGGAATATCTGCCACCTGTTGGACCCCGCCCACCAAAAGGATTTGTGGGACTGAAAAATGCTGGTGCTACTTGTTACATGAATTCTGTGATTCAGCAGCTATACATGATTCCTTCAATCAGGAACGGTATTCTTGCAATTGAAGGCACAGGTAGTGATGTAGATGATGATATGTCCGGGGATGAGAAGCAGGACAATGAGGTAAATTTTATTTATCATTTGTGTTTTCTGTGTTTGAAGATTCTGATACCAAATATTGTTCTTACTTAGAGTATTGTACTTTATCGGACCTGTTAAAATATACTTAAAGATAAGGCTGCAATCTCCTAGGGTGGGCTGCTACCTCTTGACATAATATAGTGTAGTGCTCACTATCAGACTTTAAACTGCAGTTAATTTTTATGACAGTTTATCTACATGTCTTTAAAGTACAGTTAATGTATTTATACTTTATGTGGAAAGTGTTCAGTATAATTTCAGGTTTGTGTAATGGTAAAATCTTCATTGTTAATAATAGCTTATATTTCCGCTTTCCTATTTCATATTTTTAATTACATATCTTCTTTAACATATGCCAAGTTGTAGTTGTCAGTTTCATTATCTGTGCTTACTTTTAGGTTACTAAAGTAACCCAGACCTTTAGTTATTCTTACTTAAGAAACTTTCTCTCTACTTTAAATGATGTTACGTGGTCTTGTGGCAGAATTTACACTGCCGACCAAGACTATTCAGTGCAGAATAAAGCTATGGAAAAGGCAGGTTTTAGTTGGCAGATCAGATGAGTTGTGGTCATGTTTATACCCACCTTGTATTCCTGTTTGATTTTATTTTACTGTTCCTACTTACAGTGTTGATGGGCACTGAAAAGATAAGTCAGAGCATATTCTAATTGTAGTAAATGTCTTGAATGGTTCTTTCCTTAATTCCTTCCCTTCTGTCACCAAAACTAATTTTGCTCTCAGGAAGTAGCTCATCATTTGGAACTTCTGAAACATATACTTGAATTCAACTTTTCCTCATATCTATTGAATTAGATCGTCCAGGGGTTGGAGTTGAGTATTTTTACTCTTTTTTTTTTTTTTCTTAAAGCTGCATAGAGGATGCTTACACTTGTATCTGGTTAAGAACCACTGTTGTGAGGGAAAATTGATACTCAAATTCTAGTTCTGTAGCCCATCACATTGTTGGGATGTTGAGTTAAACACAAGTAGAGGTAGCTGATCATACCAACAAGAAATAAATGAGGCAGATAAAATATGATACAAAATTCTGCTCTCAGCTGCCTTACGATTATGACCTTTAAAGATTCTGTCTTTATGCTATGTCTTCTACCACTGTTCTTGGTATCTATATTTTATTGAATATTTAGTTCTGAGCACTTTATATATATTATCATACAATCCTCACAACAGCTGTATGCGGAAACTGAAGCTTAGAAAAGTGAAGTAACTTAGTTGGTCAAACTAACTTAGCTTGTAAGTGACAAGATTTGTGTTCAATTCAGTCTTACTTAACCACTACACTCTACTCTGCTATATTATATTACCTCATCGATAGATGGTCAGGGTTTTCCTTTATGATAACTCATGTGAAATGGTGGGGATAAACACTAATGCTGTAAATTGAAATTTATAAATTTAAAGTTAAGTGCTTTGGAATTAAGAAACATAATAGAAATACAAATCATTTGGTTTGGTCAATATTTGGTATTTATCTCAACATATTTTACTATACTTTTAAAGTTAAGATTAGCTCATTAATGGTTGTGGTTCTTTTTCTTTGTTTCTAGAGTAATGTTGATCCCAGAGATGATGTATTTGGATATCCTCAACAGTTTGAAGACAAACCAGCATTAAGTAAAACAGAAGATAGAAAAGAGTATAATATTGGTGTTCTCAGACACCTTCAGGTCATCTTTGGTCATTTAGCTGCTTCTCGACTACAATACTACGTGCCCAGAGGATTTTGGAAACAGTTCAGGTAAGCAGCTATTGCTGGATAATAATAGGGATACTTCTAAAATACATGTTGGGAGGTATCTTTATAATTATTTAATATTTAAGCAATAGTAATATTCAAACGGAGCCCTGGTGGCACAGTGGATAAGAGCTACGGCTGCGAACCAAAAGGTCGGCAGTTCGAATCCACCAGCCACTCTTTGGAAACCCTATGGGGCAGTTCTCCTGTGTCGTATAGGGTCGCTATGAGTCAGAATTGACTCGATGGCAGCGGGTCAAACTGCCCTTCTTAATTAGGTTTTTTCCTCCTTGTTATCCCCATAAGAGGAGGTAGAAATTGTCACAGTAAGGAGAAGCAGCATTCTTTAGTTTTTTGGTATTAATTTTTTATTATGGAACATATCTAATATATACAAAAGTGGAGTATACTCATCACCCAGCGTCAACAGTTGTCAGCTCGTGGCCAATCTTGTTTAATCTGAATTCCCACCTACTTCTTTCCAGATTGTTTTGAAGCAAATCCCAGACATAAATTCATCTGTAAATATTTCAGTACGTATCTTTCGTGCGTTTTAAAATGTAACCTGATACTGTTTGTCACGTCTAAAAAACCTTAATAGCCAATATTCCTGTTAGTGTCCAATTTTACCAATTGTCTCATACTTGTTTTTCACTCTGGTTTTCTTTTAAACCAGGATCCAAATGAGGTCCATATTCACAAATGGTTGATATGACTGTTTTAATCTTTTATTCCCCCTTGCAATTATTTGTTGATGAAACCAGGCCCTGGTGGTGCAGTGTTTAAAGTGATAGACTGCTAACCGAGAGGTCAGCAGTTCAAACTCATCAGCTGCTCCACGGGAGAAAGATGTGGCAGTCTACTTCCATAAAGATTACAGCCTTGGAAACCCCATGGGGCAGTTCTACTCTGTCCTGTAGGGTTGCTGTGAGTTGGAATCAACGGCAAGGAGTTTGGTTCTTTTTTTTTTTTTTGGACCCTGTAAATTTTCCCACAGTCTGCATTTTAGTGATCGCATCACTGTAATATTTTATTATTTCTCCTTTCCTTCGCCCCCCTGGATTCCCTGTAAATGGGTAGTAAGATCTAGAGGCTTGATTATATTCAGGTGTTATCTTTCTTTTTTTTTTGGAATGGACGGGCAAGCAAGACTACTTCATAGTTGGTAAAGTTTATCTCCATGAGTAGAGGGTACATATAATGTCTCCTTTATCTCTGTTCTTATGATGTTAACAGCCGTTGATCATTATTGCCTAAATCCAGTATTTCATCAGGGTGTCATAATGACAGTATTCTAATTTTATCATTCATTGATTTATTAGCCAGAATAGACCTATATATAAAGTAAAACTTTCCCTCACCAATTATTTGGCTACCCTAATGTGCAAATTTTATAGGAAAGGGAGGATAGATGCTTTTTTCTTTCCCTTTGTAAGTTTATAAAATAATTAGTTGATTTCCTAACAGTCTTCAAAAGTGACTTATGAGCCTTTGCTTGTTAATCTTGTTTTTTTGACTTCTTTTATTCTACTGACTTTTTTTTTTAAATCAATGCCTATTATGTGTCATGCACTGCTAAAATGCCACAGTAGAACCAGATAATTCTGTACTGTGTATAAAAAGGACTGTAATCCTTCATAGCAGTGAGTTTTTAAAATAATACTCCTTAGATTCCTTCAGCTAGGTAATTTGAAGACAGCTGAGAGGAGGGGAAGCAATGGGTCACTTGACACTGACACCCCGGTCCATCATCCATGCTTTAATCAGAGTAACGCCCCTTTAGGTCCCCTTTTATCTCTAGGGATACTACTTAAATTTTTTCTAAAACCTCTACTTTATAATATAATGATCCCCCCTATAAATTCCTTCGATTCCCCTAACTAGTCCCCCTATTTAATTCATGCTAGTGGCTTGCGTATGCCAACCATTCTTCTTCCCAGCTCTGTGCTTTTACTCCATCACCTGGCATACTCCTTGCCTCCCTTTCTGACTATTCTAGTTCTTTTTCTTTACCTAGCTTGTTTCATCTCTGCAATGAGGCTTTTTAGCATTTCTGTTCTTACTCTTCCAAATTACTCTGACACTTTGAGCTTTTATCTTAAATTTAACTCAACTATAAATACTCTTTTCTCTCCTATAATACATTTACATTTTTGACTTCTCAATTAGTTATTCCCTGTGCTAGTGGAACTCACAGTTTGTCTAGACTAGTACTTTTGGACTAGCCACACATTAGATATGTAATATGCTCTTGATAAATATGGATTCATTAACCCCATTCTCCCACCCCTCCCCAATTTTTTATTTTGAAAAATTTGAGACCTACAGAAAAGGTGAAAAAAGTAGTATAATAATCACCTTTGTATTTATTATATTCTTTACCCTGATTTACTAGTTAACATTTTATTATATTTGCTTATCTTTTCATATGTATACTTGATTTTTTGATGTTTTTGTTGTTTTCTAAACCAGTTGATAGTAAGTTGCAAACATCATGACACTTCACCCCTAAATATGTATCTCCTTAGCGTAAGGCCATTTTCCTACTTAGATGTAATACAACCCAAGAAACATATTGATTTAATAATTTCTATTATTCACCAGTGTGTATTGATTTCCCCAAAACGTTCTTTATAACTTTTCTTTTCATCCCAGTCTAGTATCTAGAAAGGAATCGCAGGAATTTGGTTGTTGCCTCTTTAGTCTTATTTAATCTAAAATAAACTCCTGAACTTGTCATGACTTTTGTAGCACTGAAATTTTTTAAGAGTTCAGGCCAGTTGTCCTGCAGAATGTCTTACTTTCTAAATTTGTGTGATTATTTCCTCATGATTAGATTCAGGTTAACATTTCTTTGGCAAGAATAACTACATAGGTGTTGTTATGTACATCTCATTAGAAGCACATGGTATCAGTTGGCCTAATGGTGATAACAACTTTGATCCCTTGGTGTCTAACAGAGCTCTCCATTGTGAAGTTATCTTCTTTAAAATTAATAGATCATACATGGAGAGTTGACTAGATAAATAGAATTGACTGATGCCATTTCCAATAATGAAACAAATTGCTTTTAACAAATAATATATCTGACTTCACACTCCATGCAAATTTTCATCTATAATTGGAATGAGATAATTCGCTACATAGAAGTTTTACAAAAGAATTTGTCAAAAGACAGTTAGCTACTTAGACATATTTAAAATACATTTGTGATAATGTCTTCTTTTGAATACACTTGTATTCTTTATACATTACTTTAAAACATATCAAACCTTTGTCTTTATACTTGGAAAAATCAAGTTAAGAGTAAATAGATACGATCTTTGTACTGTATCTTTACCCTCAAATGTAAGGAAAATAAAAGGAGTAAAATAATAATTACAATATTCACATAAGAGTAAAAGTGAAGTTCCTCCTGTCCTCCCATTTTAATAGCATCTTCAGTTGGATTCAAAATGTATGCGTACAGTGTAGTCAGCCATCCTTTTTGGAGCCATATGCATCCACCACTCCAGGAGGTTCATGGTAATTCTTTGCCACTGGAGTACCGCTTTTACTATGAGCCTCACTCTCTCCCCCACTGTATGTAAAGTACATTCATTTTTTTCTGCTTCCTTTATGTAGTTGAATAATAAAAATTTCAGTTTGTATACTGTCATTTGTGGTAATATTACTCTCCCCCACCCCCCAGAAAAATACATACGTTCTTCTGTGAATGTTGCAGTTCTATGTTTGTTTATCTTTTAGGCTTTGGGGTGAGCCTGTTAATCTACGTGAACAACATGATGCGTTAGAATTTTTTAATTCATTGGTGGATAGTTTAGATGAAGCTTTAAAAGCCTTAGGACATCCAGCTATGCTAAGTAAAGTCTTAGGAGGTTCCTTCGCTGATCAGAAGATTTGCCAAGGCTGCCCGCATAGGTAAGTGCTAATTACGTATTTAAAGTGTATATTGTACTGTTTTTTCCTAACAAAAATAAAATTGTCACTAGTACTTAATGCACAAAAGTAGAATTATGCCACTGATTACTAAATACCTGAGTCTGTGAGTGAATTATGTACTGTGCATACCCTACTATTGTGGGGGTAGGGGGATTGTTTGGGTTTTTTGTCAAATAACTTCTGGTCCTTTTACTCTACCTTATCTCTCACTATTTATTTCCTCTTCGTTCTTTTATGTATGGTCATTCCTGGTAACTAAAGTAGCATTTTGCATATATCTACAGATGTTACTTAAAAATTTGATCTTTATCTTAGAATTAATAATATTTTAAATACATTAATCTTAGAAGATGACAAGTCTAGAGCAATATTTTCTAGACAAAAGAAATAATGATTTTCAAAATATCACTGATGATTGTCATCCTTAAGGTATGTTTGCACAAAACATTCAGCAAGAGCTGACAGACAATAAATTCTGGGGTTTTTTATTTTTTGTTTTTAAACTTAAAAGGGAAATTGTTTGATTAAGGGCTCCTGTTGAAAATAGTTAACAGTTCCTCACTGATAAACATGCATTTATGCCTATTGTGTGGAAGTTTTACTTTAGGACTTGTTGTATTAATTTTGGTTTTAAATCCCTTTTCACAAAATACCACAATAAGATAGTATTTTCTACAAGCTAAACGGTATTACATATATGGGTTGTGTGTGTATATGATGAGTGGGGGTGATTTCCTGATTGAACACAGGGAAATTATTGGAGATGAAGTAGGATTCTATAAACGAGAATTTCCATCAGGTTGTAATCTTACCATTCATTCTGAATGAGAGGCTATACTTGTTCACTTGGGTAACTTTTGGTCCTTTCGAAAGACCTTTTACATTCAGTGGACAATAAAATTGTTATTTTAACCTCTTGTTTTTAATTTTTTATAAAATAGCCAGCTTTTTGGTCATCTGTTCATCCTTCTTATTTTAGTCAGTTTTTAAAATTATTTGAGAATTGATTTTCTTTGCTAAGTGAAAATGTACAGAGTATGATTTGTTGTCAGACCATTAATATCCAAATACCTGTTCAACAATTGAACTAGTCTTATTATATGCCATAGCGATACATAAAGAGTTCCAAGTCTTATCTGTTTTAGGGCATTATTTGTCTAAAACAGGGGTCAGCAAACTATTGCCCATGGGCCACATCCAGCCCATCACCTGTTTTTGTAAAGTTTTATTGGTTGGAATGCATCCATGCTCACTCATTTACATACTGTATGACTGCTTTCACTATAATGGCAGAGTTGGGTAGCCACAGAGGTCATACGGCCTGCAGATGCTAAAATATTTACTGTTTGGCCCTTTACAGAAAATGTTTGCTGATCCCTGGTCTTTAGAATATATCCTGGTTTTCAACTGGAGTTGGAGTCATAAGATTTATTTATTTTTCCTCTCTTTTATGGGCTGTTTCCTGATTATAGTAGCAATTTGCTTAGTACCTACTTCATATTCCATTTGTGTCATTTATAAATGCCTTTGTGTACCTATCTTTTTTCCTTAACTAAGTTAAAAATCCCTAAATATGAGAGACTGTCTTAAATATTGAATATGCCACAGTTCTTTACACATGGAAAACACTCTCAGTATATTTATTGAATGAATGAATTTGATGGTTGGCAATGTATTCCCTACATCATATGTGTTCTGATTTATCACTGTGTCTCACCAGAAATCTGAAAGTCCTTTTGGTAGAAAATTACAATCTGGGTTGCTGGCTCCTGCTCAGATTGCTTATCCCTTGCTCATTTTATGTGTTCTAACTTGGGCTTTAGTTAGGCTTCTATTAAAAGGAGGAAGATTAAAAAATTCAGCCCACTAATACTTTAAAGTGTCCTTTTTAAGAAATTGATAAATTCATGCTAAATTACTATCTAAACAGATAATGGAAGCAGCATGGGAAAATGCAAAGAACTTAAGCGTGAGGCCAGACAGATCAGACTTCAAAACACCGTTTTGCCTAGTGATCTTCCCAGATCACTCATCTCTGAAGCGGGGTGGTGGTATTTTTCTAGCAGGTTTGTCACAAAGATGAAGAACCCAATATAGTGTGTAAACAACCTCATGTGCCCAGCACTTAGTAAGTGACCGATAAATGTCCAGTAAGTGACCAGTAAATGATAACATTCTATGATTATGAGTTTTGTATTATATAATACATACTGCAAATGTATTTGTCATTAAGTCCATAACTAAAATGTTTAGAAAACTAAAAAATTAATCCTAAGTCCCTTTGATCGTTTCTTAAATAATATCTTTAGGTACGAGTGTGAAGAATCTTTTACAACTCTGAATGTAGACATTAGAAATCACCAAAATCTTCTTGATTCTTTGGAACAATATGTCAAAGGAGATTTATTAGAAGGTGCAAATGCATATCATTGTGAAAAATGCAATAAAAAGGTATGGATTGTCCAGTTTTGTTTAAAATATTATGATTGCATTTAATGGATTTGGAAGAAGTTTGTTTTTATTCATCTCAAAATTCACTGTCTCTCTGTATTCCCTAAGGTGCCCTGGTGGCACAGTGGTTAAAGTAGTCGACTGCTAACCAAAAGGTCGGTGGTTCAAAACCACCAGCGGCTCCTTGGGAGAAAGATGTGGCAGTCTGCTTCCGTAGAGGTTTACAGCCTCGGATACCTTATGGGGTCACTATGAGTCAGAATCAACTCAGCGGCAGTGGGTTTGGTTTTGGTTATGGTGGTAGCAGAGAGGTAGTCAGGATGATAACTGATTTAAAGGTTTTTCAGAGAAAGAAGATAGAAAGGAAGTAGTGCTAGAGGGACTAGAGAAAACAAGTAAATAAGATAAAGAGTTTTAGTAAGATTCGTAACTTAATACCACATTCTCTCATCTCTGAGTTATGCAGACACTTTCCGTCACAACCCTGGAACTGCTATGGCACTCCTGAGAGCTACAGAGCTGACAGGGGAAACATTTCTCCTCTCACATCCAGGTTACTTTAATTCTTCATTTAGCCACACCAGTTTTCTTCTACCACCTGTGTTTTGAACCACTTGGATGAGATTTTTAGACCTACCTAATTAGTTTTTATCTGTGAGAACTTAACAGTACTTTGGAGAGACAATTCTCTCTCTCATGCAGATGCACACCCACACAAAGACACACACACAGATAAAATTGTGTGTATCTTTGTGGGCTCTCAAGCCCTCTCACCTCCAACTCAGCTGTCTTGTTTTGACCTTACACACCATTTGGAAAGGTATTAAAATCTAGAGATTAAGATCAAGGGCTGTAAAGCCATACTTCTGCCACTTACAGCTCTGAGACTTGAGGCAGGTTACTTAATCTTTCTGTGACTCCTAATATCTATATCCCTGATTTTTGCAATTTGTAACAAATGACATAGACCATTCCCATATTTTTAGATTTTTTGTTGTTGGGTGCCATCAAGTCAGTTCCAACTCATAGCCACCCCATGTGATAGAAGAGAACTGCCCAAAGGGTTGTCTTGGCTGTAATCTCTATGGAAGCAGATCACCAGGGCTTTTCTCCAGTGATGCCACTGGGTGGGTTGGAACCTTTCTGTTAGCAGCCAAGCGCTTAGCCATTGTGCCACTAGGGCTCCTTATATATTTAGAATGTTAGCATTAAAAAAAAAAAATCAATTATGACAGAATTACCTTGGTTGTGTATTCATTATCATGTATTTGTTTACACCTATAAATAATTTCAGATAAGTCTTAATTTAAAAATTTGGGGTTTTTTACATTGATTATAAGAGACTAGTAACTTTCACTGTTTATTTTAGGTTGATACTGTAAAGCGCTTGCTGATTAAAAAATTGCCTCCCGTTCTTGCTATTCAACTAAAACGATTCGACTATGACTGGGAAAGAGAATGTGCAATCAAGTTCAACGACTATTTTGAATTTCCTCGAGAGCTGGACATGGAACCTTACACTGTTGCAGGTGTTGCAAAGCTGGAAAGAGATAATGTAAACCCAGAGAGTCAGTTGATTCAACAAAACGAGCAGTCTGAAAGTGAGACAGCAGGAAGCACAAAATACAGACTTGTGGGTGTACTTGTACACAGTGGTCAAGCAAGTGGAGGACATTATTATTCTTACATCATTCAGAGGAATGGTGGAGATGGTGAGAGAAATCGCTGGTATAAATTTGATGATGGAGATGTAACAGAGTGTAAAATGGATGACGATGAAGAAATGAAAAACCAGTGTTTTGGTGGAGAGTACATGGGAGAAGTGTTTGATCACATGATGAAGCGCATGTCATACAGGCGCCAGAAAAGGTGGTGGAACGCTTATATACTTTTTTATGAACGAATGGACACAATAGACCAAGATGATGAGTTGATAAGATATATATCAGAGCTTGCTATCACCACAAGACCCCATCAGATTATTATGCCATCGGCCATTGAGAGAAGTGTACGGAAACAGAATGTACAATTCATGCACAACCGAATGCAGTACAGTTTAGAGTATTTTCAGTTTATGAAAAAACTGCTTACATGTAATGGTGTTTATTTAAACCCTCCTCCAGGTAAGTATCTAGAATTTAGCTTCTAAGTAATAAAGAATAATTCTTATTTTACTTGTAGGATTTGTTAGCAGGCATCAGCATGTGTTTGATTTTTTTTTTTTTTAAGTTCATAAAATTAATGTTTTTGTTTTAAATGAGTCTAAACTTTTGGTTATTTTTAAGTCACATTTAAGATGACTACCTCTGAACAGTGTATGTTGACTTACCGGAAACAGGAGCTTTTGTTTATTTTAACAATTTGTTTTTGACTCAGGTGTTAGTTTTGAACGTGATTAACAAATTTAGGACTTATCACCATTAGTGGAAATGCATAGTTGTTTGAAAATGGGACTTGAACATAGAAGTTTGATTTTTATATCTGTATTTTATTTATAGGGCAAGATCACCTGTTGCCTGAAGCAGAAGAAATCGCTATGATTAGTATTCAGCTTGCTGCTAGATTCCTCTTTACCACAGGATTTCACACGAAGAAAATAGTCCGTGGCTCTGCCAGTGATTGGTACACGGCTTTGGATTTTCATTCGTGATATACTAACAGTTGGTTTGGTCCTTTAATTTACAGCTTTATTTTTTCCAAACCATGTGGATTTTTTTTAGTGGACTATTTTTTAGAACAGTTTTAGATTTACAGAAAAATTGTAGAAAGTACAGAATTGTCATTTACCCCCTCCCTGCTTCACACTGTTTGTCCTGTTAACACCTTGCATTCCTGTGGTATATCTGTTACATTGGTAGACCAACATTAATACGTCATTATTAACTGAAGTTGTCCGTAGGTCACATTATGATTCTGTGTTGCACAGTTGTATGAGTTTTGACAAATACTTAATGTCATGTGTCCACCATTACAGTATCATAGAGAATAGTTTCACTGCCCTAAAAATGCCTTGTGTTTCACGTATTTATCCCTCTCCTCTCCACCTTAGCCCCTGGGAACCCCACTGATCTTTTGTTCTCTATGATTTTGCCTTTTCCAGAATGTCATATAGTTGGGATCATACACAAACCTTGAGAATTTGAAACGTAAAATAAAATACCTCGGTTAGCAATAGTGGGAGGAATCATATTAATTACTTAGTCTAAACATGGCCTTTTATTATTTAGAAGCTGGCTTCTACCTCTGTTACCTAGATGATATCTTTGACACCCTTATACAAAAGATTACAAGATGAGGCTTAAAAGTCTAAGCTGCTTAATTTCAAAATTATTAGGTTTTAGCTTTCATAGATTAAATTTTACCATAAGATTTAAAAAATGTAGAAAATTAAAATAGTTTTCTTAAATTCTTAATAATTGTGACAAAGTATAGAAGCCATTATAATACCTTGATTTAACGATTTTATTCATCCAGAAATAAGATGTTACGATAAGGGAAGGAGAGGGACACTGTTTTGTCATTGAACCAAAAAGAGTTAGGTAATGATTTGTAGAAGACTATATAAGCTTTCATTTATCTATTTTATAAAAACTCCATGGGAATAGACCAAATCATAGTGTTCATCTGTCATTTTGCTATTAGTGCTAGAAGCAACCATTGCTGCTTTTCTTCCAGCGGTAAAAGGTGTTTGATTTTTATTTGGTTCATAGAGACCCATTCATGTACTATAGAAAGCAGGTTACTGAATTGATACTCACAGGCTTTTTTCTGTTTTAGGTATGATGCACTGTGTATCCTCCTTCGTCACAGCAAGAATGTACGTTTTTGGTTTGCTCATAACGTTCTTTTTAATGTTTCCAATCGCTTCTCTGAATACCTTTTGGAGTGTCCCAGTGCAGAAGTGAGAGGTGCATTTGCAAAACTTATAGTTTTTATTGCACATTTTTCCTTGCAAGATGGGCCATGTCCTTCACCTTTTGCATCTCCTGGACCTTCTAGTCAGGTAAATACACAGCTTACTTTCTAATGATTAAGTGTTTACAATTAAATTTTTTATTCTGGAACTGAATTTACAGACATGTGTATCTGTTTGATATGTTTACATATAATCCCATACCTGAGTTCCATTAAAATTAATTCATAGCAATTAATAGTGATTGGCTCTCTAAAAAATAAGGGAATTTCCTGTTTATTCAATTATATGCAGTGTGCAGTGGCTTAGTTATAAACTTATAAAGTAGATTATTTTGAAAAATTCTAAATGAACTTCACAATTAAAAACAGTATGGAGGTTCTGTAATAAAATCTACGTTGGAACTTCATTATTCCCTCTTCCAAGAAGCAACCCTTCTTAATAGTGTCTTGTGTGAGTCCTTCCAGAAATTTCTGCCTGTATTCAACTTATATATGTTCATGTCCTTTTTTATGCAAGTAAAAGTGTATCATACCTGTACCATTTTTATGAAGGGGGAAAATAAAAAGGCTAATATTTTATCCTTTATAGGCTTATGATAACTTAAGCTTGAGCGATCACTTACTAAGAGCAGTACTAAATCTCCTGAGAAGGGAAGTTTCAGAGCATGGGCGTCATTTACAGCAGTATTTCAACCTGTTCGTGATGTATGCCAATTTAGGTAAGAATTTAAGTTTCATAATTTTATCTTAACATACTGATTTCATATTTCATATTAAATGGTATAGTCATTTAGGTTCTAAAATAGAAACAGTATTCCATAAAACCTGTTGTGAGTTTTATCTGAACCTTTTTTATGACACTTTTCACCTTGTACTTCAGTAGTTACTTACGTATATGTCTTAACTCCATGATAGATGCAGGTCAGGATTTGTGTCTTAATCGTGTTTTTATCTGGCTGCTTTTTGAAAATACTGGTTCCTAAGCACCATCCCATACCGATTGAATCAGAATTCCCAAGGCTAGCACAAGGAATCCATATTTTCAAACGTCCCCAGATGATTGTTTTGGGTTTTTTTGTTTGTTTTCATTTTTAACATTTTATTGTGCTTTAGGTGAAAGTTTACAGAGCAAATTAGTTTACCATTCAATAATTTATACACAAATTGTTTTGTGACATTGATTGCAATCTCTGCAGTGTGTCAGCACTCTCTCTCTTTCCACCCTGGGCTCCCTATTTCCATTTGTCTGGTTTTCCTGCCCCTGCCTGCCTTGCATCTTTGCTTTTGGGCAGGTGTTGTCTGTTTGGTCTCCTATACTTGATTGTTCTACGGAGCACGTTCATCACGAGCGTTACTGTTTGTTTTATAAGCCTGTCTAATCTTTGGCTGAAGGGTGAACCTCAGGGCCATACTCTCGGGGTTTCTCCAGTCTCTGTCAGACCAGTAAGCCTGGTCTTTTTTTTTTTTTTGGTGAGTTAGAATTTTGTTCTAGTCCTGCTCTGTCTGGGATCCTCTATTGTGATCCCTGTCAGAGCAGTCAGTGGTGGTAGC